CCCCCCCCCCCCCCCTCCAAGCCTGACCGACCTGTGTGGCCCCGGGGCCGTGGATCACTCACCAGTACGGCATCTTGCGCCAGTCCTTCTCGCCGCGGACGACGTTGATGATCTCGCCCTGGGCGCGGGTATCAGCAGCGCCCTCCTCGTAGCGCTCCGCGAGGGCGAAGCCGCCGCGCCTGAGCCAGACGGTGTTGCGGAAGCGCTGCGCGAGCTCGAGGAGGATGGTCTCGCGGGCCTGGCCGCCGGCACCGGGCAGGGCGCACAGGAACAGGTTGCTGCCCTCGGGCCGGACGACGCGCACGAGGGTCTGGTTCGGCGCGAGGACGGCGGGCGGCACGAGGGTCTCGTCGGCGGCGGCCTGGGCGGCGGTGCGGTTCGGACGGCCCATTGCTTGGAAGTGTGTGCGTGATGTCGCGGCAAGTGTGTGAGGAATCGGATGTCGGGTGAGACGGGGTTGTTGGTGTGGGCGGAAGGCACTTTATTTTATTCTTCAATAGAAGACATTCAACAACGGCCAGACCCAATTGTCAAGCTTTTTACTCTCGCGGCCATGGTGGGGTTGATTGAACCCTGGGGGCTGCCCGCACCTTGCCTTGTCCTCATGTACTTCAGGCTTCTGCTTCGGCCTTGTTTACTCATTGAATACAGTTTTTAACACAGATCAACTCCTGTTATAGCTTGTCAACGTAATTAATTTCATGTTCAGTTAAACGGTATGTTCTCGGCCCGGGCTGCCGATTCGTCTCCTGCGTGTATATTTATGGTCACAAAGGTGCGGCCAACGATATTCAAAACTGGTGAAGTCTAGCATTATAATAACGCGAATTACTTCATTGGCTGATTCTGTTTTCTTCTCTTTTTTTTTTATTTTTTTATTTTATTTTTTGCCTTTTCTTTTTTAATCATTTTGCCACTGTTCTTCGGGGCCGGGCGATGCCGATTTGCAGAGACCAACAGCCAAATTTTGTCTAAAACATCCCACGGTCGTCGATGCGACCTGGGAGAAGGCTTCTCAGAATGCTCAATGTCAGTATCCAAGACATCCAGCCCAGCCGTCTTTTTCTTGCCATTCTGAGAGGGTGAGCCCTGCGAGAGTGCACGAGACGACGTGATGTCATGTCTATTACACTACACATTTTGGTGCTGGTATCAAAGTGGCCATCATGGGCTCCTTTATATCTGAGCAAGTTTCAATTCGACGCCTAAAAATTGGTAGATGGTGTAAAACAGTTGCTAGAGATTGCTGGGCATTTTGTTCAACTCTCCCTGTGGCGGCGGCCACTGTGGCTGGTTACGGGACTTGTCTGGATGGGCTGGTACCTTCTCGGCCGAGCTCTCATTCGCTACCAAATAAATGGCAGACGTCATTTCACAGCCGAACAATCGCACAACTACACCAAAGGTTATCCTATGTAATCAAGAAGTTCCTCTCATGCATTCATCCGATTGTATATATAATCGCTCGACTTGGACAAGTTGGCCAGCACATTTATGGTTAGCTGCACCCTTGTTTCCAAATACGCGTATCTGCCTGGTTCGGCCGAAAGCCACGAGCGGCTAGGGAGGCCCCCCCCCATCCAACCAACCAAACCCAACCAAACAAGGCTGGCTTCCCGTCGTCCATCCCGCAATTTTCTGCCCACACTCGGCTTATTGAATCTGTCCGTGAAAATGGACCAGGCTTCCCTCTCGGATGGAAACCGTTCCGAAGCGGTCGGTCGTCATCCCCCTACTCTGCACCTCGAGTTCGCCTCCTCGCTCCCGGCCTGTATCTCGCTTGGACAAAGACTTGGCAAAGTACTGGATTAACTCGATTGTCGAGTAGGTACAATGTCTCACTCATAGCATAATAATAAGAATGACTTTGTGAGTTTGCTGACTACGGGATTAGCGTTGAGAGTTCCCGGATGCGCAGCCATCCGGCCCCAATCACGCATCATGCTGCCCACTCTTTCTGCTACCTACGTAGGCGTTCGGAACAAACGACCGGCCCCTTGATTGTTTCTTTTGAAAGACCCGGCTTCGGCGACGTTGCGTGTATCCGGTCATGTTCCCACCTCGTTCGGCGCCTGGGCTGCTGACAAGGGCTGAACTAGCAAAGTCCGCCAGCCAGTGTTAGTGCCGCCACAACGAGGCTCCCACTGATGCATGACAACTCCTTCTACATGCGTTGGCTTTTAGCAACTTCTCTTCTCAATCTTCTTCTGCCATCTCAACAATTTTCCTCTTCTCTCATCTTCCCTTTCACGGCCTACCGATACCAGCGACTGGATACCCCCATCCTGCGGTTCAATGCGACGGTCTGCGTACATCCATGACTTCACTCTTCACTCTCGACGACGCTAAATACATGATCCGACGCTTCCGTACACCAACGACGCCTCTTATAAACAACTCGGATTCATAGTTTCATAATAACAGTTTGGAAAAGAATACGCGGAACCGCCTGTCCCATCCAACACCGCCGTCATGGCATCCAATCACACCAGGACCAACCCTTACCAGAACTGCGTCCAAGTCACCGATGACTGCCCCGTCAAGGCCACCGTCCTCGGTTACTATCCGAACCTGGGGTCCGGCTACTTCTTTACCATCATGTTCGGCCTCTGCCTCATCGGCACCGTCGCCCTCGGTGTTTCCAAGCGGACCTGGACCTTTACCGCCGCCCTGACATGCGGTCTGATATTGGAAACCGCCGGTACGAGCGCCACCCCCGTCTCACCCCCAACCCTTCATCCTCGCCGCGCTTACTGTTTCTCCTCTCGTTAATACCTTTCCCAGGCTACGTCGGTCGCATCCTCCTCTCCTCCAACCCATGGAACGAGGGCGCCTTTGAGCTCCAGATCTGCGCCATCATCCTCGGCCCGACCTTCATCTGCGTCAGCATCTACCTCACCCTCAAGCACGTTGCCCTCGCCCTCAACCCGCGCCTCTCGCGCCTCCCCGCCGTCTGGTACCCGCGCCTCTTCCTGCCCGCCGACGTCTCCTGCCTCGTCGTCCAGGCCATCGGCGGCGGCATCGCCGCCGCCGCCGGCCACGACAAGCCCAAGCTCCAGCGCACCGGCAACCAGGCCATCATTGCCGGCGTCGCCCTCCAGGTCATCGTCCTCGCCGCCTTTGGCGCTCTCGGCCTCGACTACCTCCTTCGCGTCGCCCGCTGGATGCGCACGCCAGAGGCGCAGAATTCCGACGGCCTGCGCGTCTGGCGGAGCCGCAACTTTGTCATCTTCCTGATCGCCATTTGCACGGCCTACATGGCTATCTTTATCCGATGCATCTACCGGTATGTTCACTCACTCCCCCCCAGCGCCAAAAAGGGACCCGAACTTGTGACTGACAATGGCTGCAGAATCGCAGAAATGGCCGGCGGCTGGGGCAACCACATCATGCAAGACGAGCCCAGCTTCCTCGTCCTCGACAGCTCCCTCGTGCTCCTCGCCAGCGCCCTCCTGACCATCTTCCACCCCGGCATCTTCTTCCCTCAGATGCGCCACAACGCCGTCGCCCGCCGCCAGCAGCGCGCCGACGAGAAGGCGGGCGCCGCCGCCGCCGGGCAGGACGCCACCGGCGCCAACGCCGGCGACGAGACCGACGAGACGAGGATACCCGCCTCCACGAGCCTGACACCTCCCGAGACGGCCAGCAAGGAGCGAGTCTAGAACGGAAGATATTAATGAAAGAAATGAGAGACTTGCGTGTATCCTTGGGTGGCAAGGTCTCGTAATTTAGACCAAAGGCGAAAATAGCATCCGCAGATGAATGGTGTGCAGTGCAGTAACCAAGACTGGGAGATATCAGGCATTGTTTTGGCCATTCTGTTTTGTTTCATAGATGCATTTGTTCCTACACAAATTCATTTTTTGTATCATTGCCATCCATCTGCCAAGTGGTTTTTGGTATGGCTTGTGACGCGTAACCATCGCTTTGTACGTCATTGTGTCTAACTATGTACATGTACTGCATCATGCCTTGACCAAATTAGCTTCCTCTCCGTCATCGTCACTTTCCTCCCCCTCTTCATCCTCCTCTTCTTCCTCTTCCGATTCCTCTTCTTCGGTCTCCTCTTCACTTTCCTCTTCTGTCTCGCCGCTGTCCTCCTCGTCGCCCTCCGCGAGCCAATCATCCAGCGTCTTGGAACCCAACCCCTCCGCAACGCCGTTCGACCTGCTCGGTGCGGCTCGTGCTGCTTCGTCTAGAGCTTGACCAGCAGGCGCAGGACCTCTATCGTTATCATATCGCGAATACTGTCCCTCGTCCTGCTCGCGCAGTCTTGGATCAGGCTCTTTGCCGGGCGTGACCCAATCTGGGAGCGTCTCGTAGCCGTTCAGCCCGTGAAGACCACCGCCTCCTTCGAGGACGAGCGTCGAGGAGCCCAGTGGGAATCCCTTCCGAGATTCCGATGGACTTGGTGCCTGGGGTGCAGGCTTTGGCGCAAGGAGCATCAAGGTGGCAAGCTGCGGTACGGAGAGAAGTGACCTATACATTCTTGCGCGGTCACGTAGATCGTAAGATGTATCATATCTCACAAGGATCATCAAGTAGTCCCAGAGGCGCTCAATGGGATGCGTCTCGAATGTTTGAGGAACGTCGCCCTCCGCGTTCTCGGTTTTCTGAGCCTCATTGCGGTGATTAATGTGATGAAGGTGCACTTTGGCACCAAGCAGGACGATCTGTCTCTTGGCAACTTCTGATTCGTGGGCAAATTCTTTCAAAAGGATTCGCAGAACATCTGGTGCGATGTTGTCTTCTCCATCTAGACCAGAGAATTCGCCAACCAGCCAGATGATGGTTGCCCTAGCTTGAGGGTCAGTGGCCGAGTCTAAGTTTCTGGCCAGGCGCACAACGGTGCCAACATGGCTGTCGGGATTCTGCTGAATCAGATGCCGAATAACGGTGAGCGACTCGGCGGCAAGTGTGCCGTCGAGACTCGTAATTTGGCTTAGAAGAAGTTTCAAACAGCGAGGTGATGTGGTGGCATCGGATTGTGCACATCGACCAATAGCGCGCACGGCGTCTTGCACAAGAGCTTTATTTGTGCCTTGTGAAAAGTGCTCTAGTTCTTTGAGAATAAGGCTCTTTATGTGTGGTGGGCTGTGAGGAAAGATAAGGGTCAAGACCTCGAGCTTGAGCTCCCACACTGGAGCCGAATCTGTTGCTCGAACCAGGAAGTGGCTGGAGTACTTGACGAAATCTTTCGGTCGCATCAAACACACGGAGACGATGTTATACAGTGCGAGCTGCTGGATATCCTGGGCGCCTCGCATTAGTGCAACAAGAGGACCAACGGCGAGTTTGACATATTCGGCAGTGCCAATTTCAACATAGCACCTGGTGACGGCAACCACCACGCCAGAGTTACGACTTTGTAGGAGAGGGCGAACAGCATTCAGCAGCATGCGCAGATCGGGGTCGATATTCATGCCGGCATCAGCCTCCTCGGATTTTGACTCGCTGTAGAAATCATCTGCAGAAGCAGGGGTTTTAAGTTTCGGTTTCGACGCTCCGTTCTTTGGTCTGGGAAAGCATCGCCTCGCGTAAAAGCTCATTAGTCGTAGCATGGCCAGCTGGCTCCATTCATCCATGTCGACAATCTTGCGGACCAGGCCACGGTAGTGCTTGTGGATCAGATCGATCCTATCGGGGCACATTTCCAGAAACGCGGCAACAGCTGCGCCGGCGACAAAGTATTGCTTGTCCCCGAGCAGGGTGGACAGGTAGTCGGTGAGCTGGGGCGCTTGGCTTGGGTCGAGTCGGTAGCACTTGGGGATTGCGAGGGCTGCGGCCTTGCGGACGACGGGGCTCATGTCGGCGATGCCCTTCTTGATGGCGAGTGAGACGATCTGGCTGATGACGGGGACGCGGATGCCAGACATGGTCTTGAGGGCCAGGGCGCGGACCTGGGGGTTGGCATCGGAGAGGGACTTTTGGATGGTGTTGATGGAGAGGAGGGCAAGGTCGGGTTCCTGCTCGGCATGGTGGATGAGGTAGATGTACACGAGCTTCTTGATTTCGATGTTGGGCGATGCGACGTTCTTGACGACCGAGGAGAAGAAGGGAAGGGTCTTTTGGTTCCTGTACATCATCTGAATCGCGGGTCAGTGTCAGTCAGGCAAGCGGGTGTCTGGCGGCAAAGGACCAGGATGGAAGCGATGCAGGCATACAGCTATGACACGGCGCAGGCCCTCGAGCACGTCGCGATCGTTTCGGCTGTCGAGCAGCTTTCGCATCTGGTTGCGGTCGAGCAGGCGGGAGCTCGTGCGACTGCCTCGAGTAGCCTGGGCGGCATCGAGAGTGAGCTCCCTCGCTGGGCAGGCATCAGCGGCGGTCAGGGAGGAATTGAAGGCGAGTCAACATACCGGCCTCCATGAGGCTTGATATTCGCGATATCGACTCCATTGTGTGGCGACGCTGCGTATGCCAGCGAAGCTCCGAGGCGGGCTTGTCAGTCAGTTAATGTAGGAGGGGGCGTGATTGGGAAGCGGAGCAGGTTGCGACGTTGGTCAAGGAAGGTCTGTCTGGTGGGGGCACGCTGAACTTGGTGCCAAAGTCTGGTGCCACCGCTGATGTCCTTCTGAAATCATTCTCTTGGTCATTATAAATGAATAAATCACAAGTAAAACTCTTAGTAATGCCCTAGGTTAATTATGTACTTTTGAAAAAATATTTTCATCGCAAGGGCGCTGTGATGTAGTACTGTAGCAATCTCTTATGCCCTACCCTACAGAGAGCCCTTTACACCAATCATTAACTACTAGGTAGTTACTGTACTATGTACTGTACTTACTGTAGGTACAGTACAACCTACCCCAGAGCTGTCCAAGGCGAGTGCCCCGACTGCAAGGTGGGCCGGCCAATCTACTGCGACAAGCCGTCCATGAAAGGCATCACCATCAACAGCGCCTAGTCGAAATACATAGTTGCGTAAGTGAAATCAATCACTACACGGCGAAATATCGCTCACGCCGAGCAGCGACGCTCGCTTCACCGTCAAGATTCCAGACTCGATCAACTACTCCACCGCCGCCTGCCGCGTCACCGACGTCGTGCGCGGCAGCTACCCCGGCGTCGACGCCGCCATCATCGCCACCGACGCGCCGGCCGCGTTCGACTTCGCGGCCGCCCTCACGCGCAAGCACGGCACGCTGGTGCTCGTCGACCAGCCGGACGCGGGCATCACCCTGTCGTACTTCAACGTCATCTTCCGCGACCTCACGCCGGTCGGGTCGCTGATCGCGGACAGGGCGCATGCGGAGGAGCTGGTGGCGCTGGTGGCGGAGGCGGGCATCCAGGTTCAAATCAAGGAGTGGCGGCCCGAGTAGGCCGAGGACATGCGCAAGGAGTATCTGGGCGGCAAGGGCGACGGCAAGAACGTTGTTGTATTTGGGTTGACCGGACAAAAGCCACCAGAGCAGAGGCGAAGGTTTGTAGCTAACGCAGCTAGTTCCAACGGTTTTGCTAGATATGAAAATAGGTTGAGCAGCGTAGGTTCTCATAATCGTCTCTTCATATTCAAGGATTACATATATCCACACCGAAATTGAGGTTAAGAATGCTCACTTACAAACGCCGGATCCCATGCTAAGAAAAAAAAAAGTCGTCTCCTCCGCATGGTTGCTTCGTAGTGAAGCGACGACGTCAAAGCAAACACGTATAAATGTACACACAATATATATCCAAAGACTTTTATACTTTGGCGAGGACGCGGTACTCGACGTAGTCCTCGCCGTTGATGGAGACCACCTGGCCCTTTGCAGTGAGCTTGCCCGCAAAGGGCCCGGTCGGACTGCGCTGATAGACGAAGCCGTTGTAGACCTTGGGTTTTGTGTCATCGGCCGAGCTGTCCGTCACCGACGACGTGGTGCTCATCTCCACGGAGTCTCGGCTGCTATCCGCAAAGGCCGACCGGTCTGGGTCCGCGGCCGCCGCGGCTGCAGCAGCCGCCGCCACCGCGGCCTCGGAGACGTGGTCGTGGTGGTAGATGGTGCGGCGCTCACCGTACTTCTTGCGCTTCTTCCTGACGCCGGCGCCGGCCTGGGCTGGTGTGGCGCCCAGGACGGCGTCTTCTAGAGAGGTGTCGGCGGTGACGGCGTCAGTGGTGGTGGTGGCGGTGGTAGTGGGAGTGGCGGCGTCGTCGGCGTTGCTGGTGCGGCGCGAGGCCCAACCCTCCATGCGGACGGCGCGGCGACGGTCGGCGCACTTTTCGCGCTCCCAACGCAGGTTGCGGGGACGCTCGTGCTTAGCAGAGGCGCAGGCGTGCTCGGCCTTGTCGACGGCCTTGAGGATGTTGGCGGCGTTCTCTGGCCCGCCGGGCTTCTCGCCCGCCTCGACTTGACGGCCCCGCTCGCGGCAGTACTCCTTCATGCCAAGGCGGTTGAGGTTGGAGAGGTAGGACTCGAAGACAATGTCCTCATGGATGACCCAAGTCTCGCGCGAGGGCGGGTAGTTGCCCTGGACGGCGCGACCGTCGCGGGTCTCGGGCACGAGCTTGAAGCGTAGCTTGCCATCACGGCTGAGGATGCCGTAGACGGCGTGTTGGTTAGGCTCGGGCTCGCTCGAGTGCAGCCAGTGACCGATGAGGACACGAGTTGGGATGTAAGCGGCAGCAGCACGGGACCCCGACTCGGCCGAGTATTTCGACATTTGGTGGGTGTGAGTGTCCTGAGGTCTGGCGACTTTCTCTTTTTTTTTTTTTTTTTTTTTTTTTTGTTGTGTTTTGTCTGGCGAGGTGGTGAGGCAGCTGGTAGGCGAGGCTACTAAAAGGTACTCCTCTCTTGGTCCTATACGTTGAGCCTTTGGGGGCTAAAATTTTAACGGGGGCGCCCGCTGAAGACGGTCCGGAAGCCAAAAAGCGAAAGGCAACCGCAGGCCAGGGTCAGATGAAATTGACATGAGACATGGGAAAAGAGAGAGAAGAGAGGCGCAAAAAATGCGGCAGGCGATGGAGAGGGAGAAAAACGCGTCGTTATCGAAATGCACAAGCGCGCCGAACCTGCAGAGTGCCGTTCTCAATCCAGCACCTCTGCTTCTGCTCTGCTTCTGCTGCTGCTTCTGCTGCTGCTTCTGCTTTGCAGGTTGCTGGGTGCTTTCAGCCTGGGGAGATTCCAGCTCGGCCGTGGGCGGGGAGGCCAGTCTCCGCACCTGTTTGCCATGTGCTGTGGGCACGCTGGTACTGTGTTGAGGCACTGTGCTCTTTGGGGCTTCTGGGTGCAGGGCGCACAGACATGGATGGATGGGCGTGGCGTGCACTGCCTGCTGTTCACCCGGATGCTGGAGCTGGGGCAGACCAGACAGACCAGACCAGACCATACAGATGACGGCTTGCCAAATACGTAGGTGAGAGTGGCGTACTGTACATATGTTGCCTCAGGCTCGTTGTTCCGAAGTTCGGATGCACGAGATGGTTCCCTTATCCGCGACAACTGCAACAAACTGTCACTAGACTCGAGGCTTCCAACGGCGTCGAGGCAAGACAGGAAGGATCAGCCAGGATACGAATCACAAGACCTGACAACGTCGAGGTTCATCCGAGTACATCAAGCCGCGAGCCAGATGACTGCCATGTAGTGGCTGGAATCGTACGCACCGCGACACCCACAGCTCCCTCCACGAACAAGACTGGTGCCGCAACACAAACTGCCTGCTCTACTGTCTCCCAGCAGCACCTTGCAACTTCATGGCCACGCTTCTTGCCACAGTCCCATCTCCCTACTCGCCAACCACCTCAATTTCGACAGCGAGATAGGTAATGAATGACCCGCCGTCGATCCTCTGCACCCCAGGTGATGCAGGTGCAGTGCTGCTGCGCTGCAACCGTGGGCGCCGGGCGCATCGTAGCGTGCAGCGGGCCGTTGCTAGACCGCGGACCACCTGTTCAGTGGGTGGCGACAGGCAAACTGGATGATGCCTTGGTACCTGGACGTTGTACAAAAATCGCCCCCCTCAATAGCAACCCATGCTATCCGTTCAGCAATACCGAATCGCCTCCGAATTCCTGCCACACTAAGTTGCCATGATGGCTAATTAGCAACAGGTTGGGAAGGCTCGCGACGCCCAACGCCCGACGCCCCTCAACCCCCAATCGAGCAGCCACCGATGACTGCCCGGAGCCAGGCAACAGGCAAGGCTGAACGGGCGGGTTCTTAGTTTGCTTGGCTCGCGACTGCATTTTTGACGTTGTCTTCATGCCCATGTCCGTACCTAGACGACATGGTTGGACAATAACCGCCTAGACTTATTCCCCGACTTCTCTTCTGTACCTTCATCCACACCAGTTGGCCACGACAAGCATGGCTGACACCAAGACCTCCTTCACCTCGCCCAAAGATAGCGCACCACCGCCGGCCTACGATGCGACTGCTGGCTCCTCCTCCACAGCTGCGGACGCGCTTTTTCAGACCAGCTTTGCCTCGCTGTCGCTGCACATGACCGACCGTATCCGCCTCGTGCAGTTTGGCGCCGACGACGTTGCCGCCGTGCGCGGCGCCATCCGGCAGTCCTGGCCCGACGGTATCCAAGCGGAGCGGCCCTACTCCGTCTCGCACGAGTTCAAGCTGCGCGGGCGGCCTTGGAGCGGCTCCGGCACCGGCAGCTACGCCGTGCCCGCCATCACGCTCATGCGCGACCTCTTCGCCTGTCTCTACGCCCGCGGCTGGATCCTGACGGCCTCGACCGACGTCTCCCGCAAGGAGCTCGACAAGGACACGCTCATCTTTCGCCGGCAGGGCGGCGGCCCGCCGCCGCCGGCCTCGTGGATGGCCATCTCGTTCAAGCAAGGGGACAAGATCCGGCTCCTCGGCGCGTCGTCGGAGCTCATCGCGGCGCTGCGCGCGCTGCTCACCGGCATGCGCCTGCTGCAGGCCCAGGCGGTCAAGGACGCGGCACGCTCCCAGTACGAGTTCAAGCTGTACGGCCACCCGTGGCACGCGTCGGGCGAGGAGACCATGGTCGCGCGCCTGCTGATCCTGCGGTTCGTCGAGATACTCGAGCGCCACGGCTGGAGCCTGTACGCGAGCATCGATCAGAACAGCGGGCCGTCTGGCGACAGTTCCTATAGCGAGACGGACTGCTGGTATTGTGTCAAGTCGTCGGATTGGACGCCGGGCAGTGTTATTTTGCATAGGTAGCGCTGTGTGATAAACATGAATGCGCCCAGTATATGGCCAGCTGCCCATGGAGCACTGCTAATACAACCGAACGTATATAATTTCTTTAACGATTTCAAGCTCGGAGACCCTTGACCACGGATGTACCCTGCCAACGGAGCTGCGACGTGAGATCGCGGACACCAATTAGTGCTCCCATGATATATCTGAGATTCAAAAGATCTTGGTCCATAACCTATAAATATTTGATCGTATCTTCAAATATGAAACATTTCCCAGGAGTAGTGATGATTTCAGTGCTAGGCTGTGTGACCGTCCGGGAATATACCTCCGGGTTGCCGACATGACGGACCGGTAGGAGGTCGCGACCGAGGACGGCGAGATGAGCGACGGCGACCTGGCTATCTGCGTCCGATGCTGGGATGCGTTGTGCCGCGAGAAGAACAACGAGGGGGGCGGTTTCTTCCATCCTGTTAACCCCCCCAAGCAGGCCTCCTCGGCGTGCAGAAGTATTGATCGGCGCGCGGGCGTATGTTTCGTTTGCTCATGCTAAATTTGACGTAGGCGAGCTGATCCTGGAGGAAGAATTTATAGAGTGACGTGATGCGGCGCGGCCCGTTTGACACGAAACAGAATCGGCAAACATTGCTGGGGCGTTGATATGGACTTGTTGCGAGGAGTCGGGACTCGTCCACACAGAACAAAAGCGCAAAAGTACATGGCCAGCCAAAGCAAATAAACAACGGTCACGAAGTGATGGGAACAACGGAGTCATGGTTTAAAATAGTATCGCATTACTTTTCCAGCCGAGAACGCCAGTGGATGACTAATAAAACTACAGAAATCGCAAAAGCATCGTCACGTATTGAAACAGTTCAAACTTACCCGGTTCGTAACAGCGTGAGAAAGAAAACGCAACGTGAAAATGTGCATAGTTTGGGGCGGGGGGGTGCCGGCGCAAGCCGCGCGTTGCCCCGGAAGCCAACAAAGGTTGTCCTCACAGTGTTTCCAAAGCCCAAGTATTTGCATTTTTTGGTTGGTCAAAAAGCCCCCAGAGCCCGTCCGAAGATTTGTCTCGATCCAAATTGGTCCACGCCCACGTCATCATTGTCGCTCTTCTTCGGCCTCGCGAAAGCGAATACTGAAAAAAAGGACGCAGAAGAAGGATATTTTTCCAATATTAGCCCGCTCAAAATCCCTCAGGAAGCCCACTGGATGGTCTGCTCTTTTGCTGCCCGAGACGGGTAGTCAGAGTTCAACATCAGATATAACAAAAGAAAGCCAGCCCAAATCTTTTCTCCTACAACAAGAGAATACAAGGTCTCGGGAGGAGACAAATGCCCACAAGCCCTCGGTTACCCAAAGTGAAAGAATGGAGCCCCCAGGTACTATCACTGTCTCCTCAGAGACATCTTTCTCAAAGCCCACTAAGCTCAGCCAAGAGCCCGCCAACTTGTTTTGAAACGACAGCCCACATAGCCCAACACCCACTAGCATTTCCCGATCATGTCTACCCCGAGTTTCTACCCAGCACGAACCCTTTAGTCGAAAGAGATCTTGGTGCCAGAGAAGCCGCCGCCGCGGGAAGAGTTGAAGCCACCACGGCCGCCGCCACGGCCACCGAAACCGCCGCGACCACCACCACGGGGGCCACCACGGCCGCCGCCGCGGCCACCACCACGGCCACCGAAACCACCGAAACCACCACGGCCACCGCCGGCGCCGTTCTGAGGAGGACGGCTGCCGGCAAAGTCGAGGCGGATAGCACGGGACATTCTGCCGTCGCCGAGGGAAGCGCCGCTCTTGGCCTCGAGAGCAGCCTTGGCATCCTCAACGGAGTTGAAGCTAACATAGCCGAATCCCTTCAGGTTACCGGACTCACTGAACGAAGATAATTAGCAAATGTAAAACGGAAGTGGTAGTATGTGGATATCCTTACGGGTCGGTAGGCAGACGAACGCTGGCAACCTCGGCAACCTCGGCGAAGAACTCGCGGACAGCATCCTGATCAGTGGTAAAGGGCAGGTTGCCAACGAAAAGAGTGTCACTCTCGGCGCTGAGGGTGTCGCCGTGGCGCTTGGCACGATCTGCGGCACGGTCTTGAGGCTTGGCCTCAGCAGGCTTGGCGTTGGCGTAGTCGAGGTTCAGGGCACGGCCATCAACCTCCTGGCCCTGCATGGCCTCGTAGGCCTTGGTAGCAGACTCGTTGTCCTCAAAGTCGACGTAGCCGAAGCCACGGCTGCGGCCGGTGTTCTTGTCCATGACGACGCGGGCGCTGACGAGGCCGCCGAAGGACTTGAAGGCCTCATGCAGAGCGTCATCGTCGATGCCCCAGCTCAGGGAGCCTGCGAAAAGGGTGGTGGGGGCATCAGACTTGGCCTTCTTGGGGGCCTCGTCAATTTCATCCTCGGCCTTGCGCTTCTTGGAAGGAGCAGCCTCAGTCTTCTCCTCCTCCTCATCAGAGTCAGAGTCGTCGCTGTCGTCAGAGTCATCAGAGTCGGCCTCCTGGGGTCTTGTTAGTATAGGATGACAAGTCTTGAGCACAGTGGCTATACATACAGCCTCCTTGGCCTTGGGGGCAGCCTTCTCCTCCTCCTCTTCGTCAGAGTCAGAGTCGTCGCTATCAGAATCGTCCGACTCCTCGGCGGCCTTGCCGTTTGTCTTAGCAGCGCCGCTGGTCTTGGCGGCGGGCTTCTCCTCCTCAGACTCGGAATCCTCGGACTCGGAATCAGAGCTATCAGCAGCCTTGTTCTTCTTTCCGTTGGCAACAGCCTTCTTGGGAGCCTCCTCCTCGGAGGCGTCAGAGTCAGAGTCAGAGCCAGACTCCTCGCTGGCGCTGGCCTCAGACTCGCTCTCAGACTCAGAGGACTCGGGCTCGACGACCTTCTTCTTCTTCTCAATGTTTTTGGCTGTAGCCTTAGCAGTGTCCTTGGCTTTAGCCTTAGGGGTCTGGGAGGCCTTGGTGATGCCGCCGTTCTTGACGGCCTTGGACTCAGCCTTAGAAGGCTTTGCCACCTTGCTTGCGGATTTGGCCATTGTGAGTTTGTGTGATTTGCTTTCTAGATGCTAGGAAAAGACAAGAAAGGACAACCCGGAAAAAAAATTTGGGTAGAGGGTATAAAAAATGAGGTGTGAAGAGATGGGGAAAATTTTAAAACAGCGGGCGAGCAGGGTCTTTTTAGCTGGAGGTTGGGCAGAACCTTGAGATTTTTTTCTTTCGCAAAAATAGTGGATCTAATCAAAAGCGGTGAATGCGATAAGAAGGGACTTCGGTACTTGCGAGGTTGTGGCGCAGGAGTGAATGCCTGACAAATGAGGCGCTGGGATTGGCTAGTTCAGAAACGCCGCTGGAGGTTTGTGATGTCCTAGGCCGAAGAGCAAGCCAGCAGCCTTCGCATCGCAGTCTACCCGCAATTTCTTCCTCGAGACTCGTGATAGCCGTCCGAAACCTGGCTTCTCCAATTTAGAGGACCGCTCTTCGAACCGCCCAGCATGCCGACCCCCGAATCCGAGATGTTCAAGGCGGCAAAGCCCACAGTCGCGCCCACCTTCAACGGTGTCGACTTTGACGACACCAAGGCCTTCAAGGCTGCCGAGGACGCTATTATCCGCGAGCAATGGGTCGGCGCCATGATGACCCGCCTAGTCGGCGAGGAATTGAGCAAATGCTACATCAAGAACGGCAACAACCACTTGGAGAAGTGCGGTGAACTGCGAGGTAAGCTCCCTAACTGATGCGGCGCCGGCCGCGGGGCATTTGGGCGACGGCATGAGGATACTAATTGGCTCGCTATTTTCTCAGAGAAATACCTCGAGCTGCTTGCCACCAACAAAATCAAGGGGACAAAGTTCTTGCAACAAAACTACTTGGAAAAGAAGGACGAGGAGCTGGACATTGCCGCCAAGGTGCACACCTCCGACAAGATTGCGAAGCTGAACCATGGGCGATTCTCTTCATAATCAAGAAATTGGGATCCATTGTAATAGAAACGGAGCGACTGCCAGATTTAATTGGCATGTCCTCGCAGAGGCAGACGCACAGGTGGTTGGGGCAGCTTCGGAAGAACTACCTACAATGCGAATACTGTAGCGGCATCTTGTACTCTGCGGGAGTGTATATATGTAAAGAAATGAAATTGAAGTTTCAGCTATTATTCTTGTATTACTCTAATGTGATTTTAAATCCAGAACGTGCGTATCTCGTCGTGGCCTTGCTAAATAGCTACCTCTAAGCTCTCCAACACCCGCCCGCAGTGCCAGAGGCTGGCTCCCTCTCCACGCGACAGCGACTCCCAAAATTTCTGAACGCCTGCACCCATCACTCCTAATCCACCACAACCACCAACAACCGTCCTTTTCACACAACACAGCACCTATCACGGCTGGAAAATCACCATGTTCTGCACACGGTGTCTGCGCACCGCCGTCGCGCGTCGACAATTCCCGGTCGCTCGTCGTCAATTCTCCGCCGCACCGTTCCTGCGCTCCGACGCAGCGCCAACACTCTCGACACCCACCACCGCCGCCGGTGAGGCCGCCGCCCCCGCGAAAGCCGCTCCCCGGTCCAGCTGCCCCGAGGGCACCGTACTCACGGGCCTCAACTATACCAAGGGCGGCTCCGACCCCGTCGCGATGAAGGACGAGGCGTACCCCGAGTGGCTGTGGTCCTGCCTCGACGTCACCAAGAAGCGTACCGAGGGCGACGAGGACGCCGCCGGCGACGAGTTTTGTGCGTTTCCGTGACCTCTCTCGAACGCCCTAAAACATTGCGGCTGTTTGAGGACCCTGTAGTCCTAATGCTAACGCGATTCATCGTGCACAGCCAAATCCAAGAAGCAGCGACGACTGGCAGCCAAGCGCCAAAAGGCACTCGAGGCCGAGCTGCTCGCGTCGGGCAACCTCGAGGCCCTCCAGCCCAAGATCCCCATCCAGCAGCAGTCGATCAACTTACAGGGCGAGGAGAATGGCACCGTTGCGGACAACCTTGCGGCGGCCGAGAAGCGCCAGGAGCTGAAGCTGGCAATGCGCAAGGAGAGGAAGGCCAAGATCAAGGAGACCAACTACCTCAAGTCTATGTAAAAGGAGCATCCATATCCCGTCAGGGTTTGTGTATATTATCATACTGGCGAATTACGTTATCCCCTGTTGTACAATAGATTATTTAAGGGTCGGCGCTTTTGCACTCCATGGTATCCTATGCATACACACATTTCAAATACATATTCATGTGAATCAAAGGGAGCCTCAGAAACAATGCGAGTTGAATAAGTAATGACTAAAAAGCGCTCAAATCTAACGGAACACTGCTTCCCCTGCCTGCTCTGTACCTCCGGCTGCCCCCAGAAAAGCCTCTCGGTTTTGGAAGTTGGTCGTCCTCCTTGAAGTGCCATCTTGAATCGTTGATGACGATGCGGCTTCCACCACCGAGGCTTGGGCTTGGTGAATGAAACGAGGTGCGCGACTTCGGCGTACCAGCTGGTGAGTGGGAGCCGTTTGTAGATAGGGTGTACGCGCTCGGATCGAGCATAGATTGTCGAAGGGAAGCACCGCGGCTGCGGCCTTGCGGTGGAGGAGGCGGCGGCGGTGACGGCGCAGCACCAGGCGGAGGGGGCGGAGGCGCCGTCGTAGGGGACGATCGTCCGGAGAGCCGGTTGTTCACGGCAGGGGCAATCGAAGGCGCGACGCTGGCTGGCGGAGGTGGTGGAGGGGGAGGCTGTAATCGAGGAGCGGCTGCTGGCAAAGGGGGCGCGCTTGAAGGTGGTGGTGGAGGAGGCGCACCGGGAGCTGACGATGTAGGACGAGGAGGAGGCGGCGCTGGTGCTCCTGATGGAGCCGGAGGAGGCGGAGGGGCAGGAGAAGCGGGGAGCGTCGGCTTCAATGCTGGTTTTCGAGATGTTGGTAGCGGGGGTGGCTTCTTTCCTATGGGTGGCGGCGGTCCCCTTGCACTCGTCTTTCGTAACCCACCAGGGCCAGGTACCGACAGCGATGGCCTTCCCGGGATCGCAGGAGCGCCGCTTGACGGCGGTGGAGGTGCTGAGGCAGGCGGTCTAGGCGCGGAGAATTTCGACTCGCCCGGATCGGATAAGTATGAGGAGTCTGTCTCCCGTCCAGTGTCAATGCCACCGCCTCGCTTCTTCAGTTTGGGCATGCCGCCCGCGAACAGCCCACCCAACTGCGGCGCCGCTGATTCCAACCCGGCCGGCGTCGCCGCTCCGGTACCCTGATCACTGTTGCTCCTGGCACGGTTTCCAGGTACCGGAGGCGCCAGGCCTGGTACCGGAGGCGCGCCGCCTACTGGTGGACCTGAGGATGAAGTTCCGCCGCCGCTGACCTGAGGGGCAGAGCGATCGTTCGTGACAGCCTTCTTGAGGGCTTTGCCTTTGCTTATATCGGCTAGGAGAGCACCCTGTAGCATATGGTTAGCTGAGAGTTTGGGGAAATGCGGCACTAGCTATTGTTTCAACGTACGCGACCGAGCGGAGGACGTCCAGGCATGCCGCCAGGTGCTCCTCCAGGAGGAGGAGGTGGTGGAGGAGGAGGACCGCCACCGCCGGGAGGTGGCGGCGGCGGGGGAGGAGGAGGCGGCCCCGGCATGATGTATTGTGCTGTGCTCTAGGGGCTTTTCAGCATAGGGGAAGAGTAGTCGCGGGTAAAATAGCAAGTCGAGGTCGGAGCTGAGGTTTACGGATCAGCTATCCGTTCGATCGAGCTGATGGCTGGGTGCTTCTGAAGGGGTCGCAGGGGTGTTCGACGGTCTGTGGATGGCAAAAGCAGGAATAAGATGCCTTGCACAGCTATCAATGTTGTAGGCAAGATGCAGGATTCGATTTCCCAACGTCTCGCGTGAGATGGTTTTGTTTCGTCATGGGGGTGACGCTGGGCCACGCAAGAGCCGCCAGGAATGAGTGGCTTGGGGTTGTCTGCCCCACCTCAGCCTGTACTTTTATATGGCTGCCTTTGCGACATGGCCAATGTAGGACAATATGGCTGTTACATGTTTGATATTGTTGATCCTATTTACGAAAACACTGATCGGAAATTTTACAAGATTTAATGAAAATTACTGGCTTCTAGATTGCATTCCTAGGTGATCGGCGGTTGTTGAACTGAGTGCTATGCGCTGTAGAGGGGCTCACCATGCACTAGACGGTCCAATCACAGCGCTAAGAATTTCTTCCCATTTTCATCACCACCAAGCAGCAACCTCGTCAACTCCTTGTCGACAAACAGCCAATACCGGCACTCGCGCCAGGATATATGTGCTTGGGATAGCGTGGAGCGCAAAGGAGCAAGAACAAAATCTCCTATTGTCACAGAAAACTCGCCATCGCGGCAGCAATAACGACAATGCGCTCTGCATCGACTCGCGCGGTGAGCGGCTTCGTCTGCCAGTCCTGTGCTGTGCTCCCACGCTCCACGGGTCCTCTCGGCCGACCCCCCATCGTCCCCAGCCGCCGAAACGCAAAGCCATTGCCGACGTGGAGAGCCGCTGGCGGCGCTCGCTGGACCAGCAGCGATGCGGCAGCCTCGCAGAATGGCCTACATCCCCGGAGAGACGCCGCGGCTGCCGCCGCGGCTGCCGCGCCGTCGCCGCCCACCAAGGTCCAACGCATCACTGACCCGGCCGAGCTCGCAGCCCTTGCCGAGGACAGCTGCAACAAAATCCAGTCCATCGACGGCATCCCTGAGCGGCCGGTGACCGAGGCCGCCCTGCAGGCGTGCCTACGCGCCGCGACCGCCCTCCACCCACAGCTGCGACGCTCTGCCGCAGCCACCGGAGAGGCGCAGGGCCGGGCGTCCACCGCGCGGCTCGCCGCCCTCACCGGCGAGCGGCGGCCGGGATCCAAGCTGCCCGCCGTCGACGCGCGCGTCGCCGAGGCCTCGAACCGCATCTCCCACGCCGCGTGGCGCGTCCTCAGCCACCCCAACGTCGAGATGGCGCCTGAGCTGCTCGAGGCGTACGTCCGCGTCCAGCACCAGCTCGGCCGCCCTGAGTCGCTCCCAGCCGCCCTCGACCTCTACGCCAAGAAGAGCAAGCCTGTTGCCGCTGCGGCCGCGGCCGGAAACGCCAGCGTCGTCACGTACCGCCGCACGAACCCCAACGCCGCGTCCCGCGCCGCCGAGACGCACGTCGTCGACCTCGCGCTGCAGACGGCCATCGACGCCAAGAACCTCGACGCCGCGCTCGGTGTCATCGAGGCCGGCTTCTGCGTGCCCGCTTTCCGCCGCGCCAAGCTCATCAAGCACGGCACCGCGCCGGCCCTCGGCCTGATGGCGCTGCCCTTTGGCGTCGTCGGCCTGTCCACCGCGTACGCCGCCTACTGGCAGAACACCATGGACGTGACGACCGCGACCGCCATCGGCGCCGCCGGCATCTCGGGCTACCTCCTCGTCGTCGGCTCGCTCGGCGTCATCGCCAAGCTCAGCCACAAGGACCAGATGCGCCGCGTCACCTGGACGCCCGGCACTCCCCTTCGCTACCGCTGGATGCGCGAGGAGGAGCGTGCCGCGCTCGACAAGGTTGCGCTTGCCTGGGGCTTCAAGGAGCCCTGGCGGCACGGTGAGGAGACGGGCGCCGACTGGGAGGGCCTGCGCGAGTATATGGGCTACCGTCAGATGCTTCTTGATCGTGTTGAGTTCATGGACGGCATGAGCTAGTTTGCTTGAGCATCTATGCCGTAACCTTTTCTATTTGTACTACTATAATTCTGTATATTTGTATAGTGTGGAGATACATATTCCATTACATGCGGCCCGTCCGGTGCAACTATCGCGCGAGTTCCCAATGAATCGTCTCATGGTTGCAGATTGTATGTACTCTAGCATTGTTGTATGAAAGAGCATCTGATATAATCAAAACATTAAACCCCTAAATTCTGCCCCGCCGTCCGAATCATTTCCCATATACACGTAAACCTGAGGGAAATTCCCTCCTTGCCTAACCAGAATCCCTAAGGCATAAACGCCGCCTACTATAGTCATCAAGAAGAACAAAATGAAAAACTAAAGCAGAGCATCCCCGTGAACTACAATTCACATCGAGTGCTTCCAGCTAGAGATTTTGGGTATTTGTTCGACCGTAGTCCAAACTCCCGGATTCAGGTCTTCACTTTAGTCCGCATACACGCGGGTAGTATTGGACCGTCCATTCTCGGCCTTGGAATATTCGCCCTCGTAATAGACCTCGTACTGTGTAGTCTTTCTGATAATGCCATCCGCAGCCTCTTGGATGTAAGCCTTTTGATAAGGGGCTAGAATGAACTCCTCGCTACTCTCGTCCTGATGATGCACCGCACTGTGGTTCGTCTCTTCCGGTTTCCTCGGCCCCGTGTACGGTGCCCACTCACCATTGAGAGAGCGGAGGCGCCGGTGGCCAATGGTCATGGTAGGATCCGATGAGCCAAATGAATGCGCATTCTTGGGTGTTGAGGCAATGGTTATGGATCCAAAGAGGCCGGGAAGCATCCAGGTGAGAACCATGCGGCACATCGGCAGACAGGCGCAGATGATGGCGACGTTGATCTCAATCATGGTCCAGAGCGTAGATGCAATGTCGTCTTGGAATAATTATTAGCGAAAGTTCGCAGTGAAATGTGAAATGGCAACACTCACATGTTACGTCGGGGGAAGTGATGGAAAAATTTAGAGTCGTAGCACGTAGGATCGAAGTGACGGTGACGCTGAGAAATAAAACGTTAGCTTTTGCGACTATCGTGAATCAATATAGTAAACATACAAGCCACCGAGAGCAAATACTAGCATCAGAGCACGTTTCTGGTTGACGGGAAGCTTGCTGGTCCAGATAGGTTGCATCGGAAGGCTGAGAATCAAGACATCGGTAGCAATGGCGAAGCCAGCGTTGGCATACCAATTCTTGATCATGCTGATGCAGCTGCCGTGGAGGGATTTGTCCCAAGCAAAAGCAATGGGTGTGCATTGCCAGATGGACGACGCCGTAGTTGCAACGCAATAGGCCAGCACGATGCAGATTAGGGTGTTGCAGCTGTAGCGGAACCATTTCTGGACAAAGATTCGACGATAGAGCAAGAGGATTGACGTTTTGGTAAGATTAATGGTAAGCTTGTAAAAGATTTGAGCAATGTAGAACATCTAACATGAAGTTAGTGGGGGACAGGAAGTGTCAAAACGAAGGCATACCTGGAGAGCTTCGAGTCTGTTCGGTTTTGGCAGTGACTTGACATGCCTTCCGAAGCCCGCATCCACTGATACCATCATGAAAATCATGACAGTCAATGTGCAGAACTAGATGGTATATGTTAGCAGCTGCTTCAATAAGACGAGAATAATGACCATCTTACATAGGACAAGATAATGGTAGCATCGTCCCAGCCCAGGCCAGTCCTCCGCGAAATCCGGTTGTATATCCGAATACCGAGAAAGATGGGTGTGACCGCGAAGAAGATGATGCAAGGAATTCGCACATAGTCAGCATGGCTGGTCGCTGTTTGACTCTCAAAGACAGTCATTTTCACAGCCAAAAAACGAACTAACTCGAAGTCTTGTGAGGTATCTCGAACACGAAGGGGGATCAATCAGAACAAGGAGTATATACACGTACACTTTCTAAGAAAAGAAACAATATCGGTTGGCAGGGGCCGGTCCGGGAGGGGTCTTATAATAGAACCTAGGCAAGATTGTCTCAAGCATGAACATAAACGTATGCAGGACGGGGGTAGGCGACGAAGTCATCGATGAGCAGCAGCGCATCGCCTAGTCGATACAACAAGCATGGGCCACCACCATCACCACACCCCGCCCTTGGGTAGTAATGGGTGATTGAGCCAAGCGAAGGCGAGAAAGGATGAATCTCCATCCTCTTGTTTTGAGGCCAGATCATGCGAGGCACACATTAGGCTACGCTAGCTGTCCGAGGAGAGCTCTGTGCGTGGTCGTTTGAAGCAATCCGCTGCCATCGGAATGTCGTGCGTCTTTTTTCGTTTCAAGATCAAATAGAGCCTTGTTATAACTCCAAAGGTGCGATAAGAGCATGCCACATGGATCTTGTTGTAGAGCCAAGCTGCGAACTGAGCTGAACAAAAGATCCGTTGCCCCTTTCGGTAGGTGGTTAGGGAGCCTGGTTTCTGATTAGTCCTGAGCAGTTGCGATTGCATAATTGCACCTAAAGATCTGCCCGCATTCATTCACAATCAACGTGAATTAATATCGACAGAGATGGAGACAAGGTGGAAAACTACCATGAGTTCCTTCAAGACTCGACGCCGGCGTGGCGAAGTTGACCGCCGCCTGGCATGTTTCGGCTCCAGGAAGCTAGGAGATGATCGGGTCGGGCTAGCATACACCGGCGACATGTAAGTCGCGGCCGAAAAGCAATCGAGACAGCATTTTCTGCCGCCTCGCGAGACTAAGCTTGCAGGAATACCGAAGAAAGCCCATATTTTCTCGTCGCAAGACCCAGAAGGCTCGGCTTTCCTGAGTTCTCTCCGCATTTTGCCCCGTGGAGCCTGCATGCTCTTGAGTATGAGAGGAGTATGAGCTGCCAGGTGCCGGGACAGGAGCGAGCCGGAATATAACCGAATGTAAGACAGCTTTTGACCAAATCTGTTATTTATCCTGACGAGACTGTAACATGACAAAACGTAGTGTAACCCCGTCAAATGCTCCAGATTGGTGCGATGGATATTCCAGTAAAAGAGGCGAGCTATGAATAGCCAAGAAGTAATTGCACGCCAGGGTCACGGAGAGAGCTAACGCGGGGTTAGTCGAAGATGAGAAGACTCCTGCGTCATGAGCTGCGCACATGATGCGGCGTAGGGCAGCTATTCCTCTAGAGTTAGGTACTAGTATTTCAGGAAATGACGGTACAGTCAAGCCTTTGGCGCAAGCCTCCGGAGGTTTCACGGCCGAAAAAATCGCCAGCCTTAAACCTTCTCGATACCCGGCCGCCGGGCCTTATCGGGCAATTCTTCGACCGACAGAGAAGATGGAGGAAGGAGAAGTACAGCGATGGTGTGGCAACTAGCAGCAAAGCTGTGGCGATGGCGGTAAGTGTGACTAGTAAGGTACGAATGAAGTCTGGTAGAAGCTGCCGAGTCGCAAGCTGCGAGAAATCGAGCTTCGCGCAGGCTCGTTGGGGCCGTGGCGTAAGGCTAGCTGCATCGTTTTGTTCGTGAGGAGAGCGTAAATAGATGGGATGATGGCTGGGTTCCCCGCTTCCCTGGCTTCTTGTGTTGCTTGCAATTGTGGCATCGTGCGATGGAACCAGGCCACATAGTGAACTGAGAGCGCATCAGCCAAGGAAATAGCGAGACAGTCGCGATTCTTCGCAATAGGTACAATGGCCGGCTCTAGTCAAGCTATTAGAGTAGCTAATGCGCTCCATGGGCCAGTGCTCTGCTCTTTTAGCAATCGGCGAAAATCCTGCCTCAACACGGAGTACATTAGTTGCTAGCCACTAACTCGACGATACTAAATGTGGCAGGCTCGACAGCATGAACCCCGTTTGTGTGAGGTGCAGAATTGAGAGGGGAAGCTGGCCAATGCCACGGCAGGCGGACGAGTCACCAAAAGCGGGAATAGTCTCTGAAGAGTATTTGTCTCTGCAGGGCATTTGAAAGGCTGTCATGTGGATGTTGTGGATGCGGCGCGGCACGACTTTGCTAGCCAAACTGGGTTTGGAGGAGGCGCTGGTTTGAAGAAAAGGCATGGTGGTTGTTGATAGGATGGAAGGCGAGAGAGGGAAGTAGGCTGGGAGAGAGTCTGGATTCGTTGGATGGACGAAAGGTGAAAGGGCCATTCTGTGAACCGATCGCCATTTCTACCAATAATGTAGAAAGGAAAATGTTTGTTGAGGCAGAGACGATGGGAGTGCCGTTTGTCAGCTGCCAGTGCCAACCTGTATTTGGCCGTGCGCAGGAGCCAGTCGTTGCCAGACGAGCGTTTGCAACTTGCATCATTCATCATCAATCACAGTTTCTCGCATTACATTCGGAAATCACCACGATGCAGTGGACAGTCGCTCTTATGCTGCTATATTCCAACCATGCCAATATTCGGTCCTGACGGACTTCGGCACAACGGCTCCGGACACCATCGCCCACAGCACAGGCCATCGACCATCAAACAGTCATTGGCGGCGCCAAATAACCGCCGCACACACATCACTATTTCCCAGCGGCTTGAACATCCGTTGTCCCGTTCGGGCCAGTTTCTATTAACAACTAAGAAGCCATGCGATGAGCCGGCCACTCTCTCTCGGCGGGAAGTTTATGCCGCGGTTCCCTACCCACTGTCTACAATGTAGGCAATGTCGCCGCCCAGCTAGAGTCACCAACTAGGAGAAAATCGCCTCAATCAAAGCTAGCGGCGCGAATCCCGCTGTCAGTTGTGTTGATTCTGGACTCGCGAGAGGTGCATCTACCAACCACGCAACGAGGCTAAGCACCATTTTGGATTGCTCGCAAGTCTTACTCCCGGTCAGGAAGCCATTCGCTGCCGAAGCTGCTGGAAATTGAGTTAGGCCAATAACTATCCTAGCGGCCAGGAATGCCCACGTTGGCAAAAGGACGCATCCGCTGCCTCGTGGCATGCCCCTGACGCGAATACCAGTGGTTGGTTGGCCCAACTCTGGGCAACTTGATCAAAGCTAGCCCAATAGCACATGGCAAGCTACGATAACTCGAGCTACGCTTCTGCTTCACCTGCTACATCTGGCGCCAGTTGGTAAAATTATTCGGCTGTGCTATCCACCTCCTTGCATCTTGTCTAGCCAAAAGAGGACTCCGCCGGACAGCTATTCCCTCGAGTAACCACGCAGTTCACCACTTTCAATTCAGGACACCTGCATACATCGTAGCATCTACCTACGTTACATGTGCTTCCGAGTTGAAAGTTTTGCTTCGCTTCTGTACTGCGACTGATTAAAACCCTCGCTCGGCCAGCTACAAGGTCCTCACTTCTGACACCAGACACGGCTCTTCAGCCCTTACACCTCTGTGTTTGTCCTCGCCCTGCAACATTGCATCTCCGCTCTTTCCAACAATCTATGAGTACGCGACCTGAGCTTCAACATGCGCTTCTCCCTCGCAGGGCTGGTGGCCTCTGGTCTGATCTGCGCCGGTCTCGTCTCGGCACAGACAAACGGCTCTATTGACAATGGTCCCTTTGACGACGACCTCAACGGCTCCAACTTCACCTACCCGCATCCGGTGAAGCTCTTTCGCTTCCACAACCAGCTGCAGGACCTGGAGATGGCCTTTATGGACGTCCCTCCTTCATGCGCGCCTAACGGCAAGACTGTCGTCGTTCTGCATGGCAAAAACTTTTGCGGGCCTACCTGGGGTGCGACAATCGATGTCCTGGCGAGTATTGGCTATCGCGTTATTGCGCCGGATCAGGTTGGCTTCTGCAAGAGCAGCAAGCCCACGGGCTACCAATTCAGCACCAACCAGCTGGCCAAAAACACGCAGGCATTGCTCACGACGCTTGGAATCAGCAAAATCACCTTGATTGGCCACTCTCTTGGCGGCATGCTTTCCATTCGATTCGGCCTGCAATATCCCGACATGATTGAAAAGCTCGTTCTTGTCGACCCGGTCGGTCTTGAAGACTACGTGGAAAAGGGAGTGCCTTATATTGCTCTCGACGACAGCTACAAGTCCGAGTCTGCCCAAAACTACCAGTCCATCAGAGGCTACGAACAGGAAGTCTACTACGTCGGCCAATGGAAGAGCTCCTACGACACATGGGTCAACATGCTGGTGAACATCTATAACGGCTCCAAGCGTGGGCAGTTTGTCACCAACCAGGCGCAAATTGTCGACATGGTGCTGACCTCGCCGGTCGCCCACTACTTTGGCGATCTTACACCCAAGACGCTCCTCATTGTCGGTGACAAGGACAAGACGGCCATTGGATCGCAGTGGAGTCCTCCTGATGTGGCTGCCAAGCTCGGCCACTTTGACGTTCTTGGGCCGCAAGTCGCTTCTCGGCTCCCTAATGGTCGGCTGCATCAGTTTCCGGATCTCGGGCATGCTCCGCAGCTGTCGGACCCCTCGTCATTCCATGCCGTCGTGCTGGACTTTCTGTGGTCGTAGGGTCTGTGAATGAGTCGATTGAACGCTTCTGGTACAAAAATTGATGTATAATCGATGGGGGGTCTGTTCCTGTATATATGCTGCATACGTGCGCTTTCCAACTAGCCAGCTTCTTTCTAGTCTATGCCGCCGGCAGTTTGTTTCAGCAATGGCCACATGTATTTTGTTCATGAGCTTTGTTCTTTTGTTTTGATGTGCCGTACTCTGAGAATTAGTGAAGATCTGTTCGAGCCATGTCTCAGCCACTTTGTTCGAAGCATCTTATAACCAGCGTTAGTGTAGTTTGAGGCCTTGGGGTATGGATCCGTGCTCCCACACGGTTCCTGGCTAAGAGCCTATATAGTGATTGGAAATCTGACATGGAAAGGAGAAGCTGCCTATTGATATTTTCTTGTTCAATTTGTGATATCTACTATATATATGTATGTACATATTGCTTGTATATATATACTGCTTGTATGTACGTCTCTGCGTGTCAATACACGCACCCCTCCCCCCGCGGCAACCTTGTCTAACCGCTGTACGCGCACTGGACGCCCTGGGAGTCGGCCTTGCAGTCGGTGAGGGTCTGTCCGTTGACGACAACGTTGGTGATGCGGCTGCCGTCGGCGCCAACAGTACCACCACTACCGGTGGCGCTGGTGTCGTAAAAGTCCCACTCGCCAAAGTTGGCGAAGCTCTGGGAGTCGCCGCCATACTCGAGCACCCACTCGGCGTCAGTCTGGCAGAGGGACTCGCGCATGTTGTCGTAGGGAGTGGTGATGTGGGCGCCGGTGGTGAGGTTCTCGAGGGTGGAGGTGCCCGAGTTGGCCGAGGTGGCGTTGACGGACATGCGGATGACGTCGCCGTCGCTGACGGGGAACTGGTCGTCGTAGTACACGGGGGGCTCGGGCCACCACTCGTACCAGGCGCGGACGGTGCCGTCGCCGTGGGCCTGGACGCCGGTCTGGAGGATGGCGTTTTGGCAGCCGTAGCCTGTGTGTGTGGTCAGTATGGCAGTGTGTGGGCGGGGAAGGCGGGGGGGGAAGGAGATTGAGAAGGGCAGGAAGAGGTAAAACAAAACGCACCGTCAATGCCGACCCAGGCGGCGGTACCGGCGTAGCTGTCCTGGCCCGTGATGGAGGGGATCTTGGTGGTGCCAGTGACAAAGGTCCAGCCGTTGCCCTCTTGGACGCCGCCGCCCCAGGGCGAGTTGACCTGCTGGCTAGCAAAGTTGCCGACCTTGTTGCGGAGGGGCCCTCCGACGGGGATGTCCTTGTAGTTGCGGCCACCCGGCGCGGCGACGGCACCCGACGCGGCGGTCAGAAGAGCGACGGCAGCGGCGGTCTTCATGATGACTGACGATGCTTGGAAACGAGGATGAGAATGCTGATGAGGACGGGAATCTGGGGAAAGGGGGGGGGCAATGGTCTCGTGTATTTATACTTGAATGGAGCAGAGGCCTGCCTGGTCAGCCTGGCATCGTCAGTCATGTCAGTCATTGTCCGTGCCTGTCTTCACCTAGGGTCGGGAGGTACACTCTGGGGGACCGGGGGTCGGTCAGGTACCGTCATCGTAAAGCGGAACAAGTGTAGCATTACTCTTGTTACGCGGCCTGCCTAAATCGACCTAGCATGTTGGTCGGAAAACCTCAGTGGTGGCAGAGGGCAGATAACCAGGCGGCAGACCAAAGCGTACCCAAGTATCACCAGTACAGCGGCTTCTCCGAGGCCGCAAGTCAAACAACTAGAGACGGTGCTTATGGGATTGTCGTCTTTACGTAAATGAAGAGGGCAGCCGCCGATCGCTGATGCCGGCGCCGTTACAGCCAGCCACCTGCCATTAGCGGAAGGTCTATTTCTGAAATGTCAGAAATGCCCGGCTAGTTATCAGTTGACGTCGCATCGGGTCGCCCATCAGATGCCCCTAGTCCCACACCTTGGCTACCCCCCTCCCCCCCCCCTACTAATCCTTCTCCACGATCCCCCAGATGCCAAGAATTGGCCCAATGACGGTAATAATAGCCGGCGATGAGACTGGGCAGGTTGAGGGTCGCAGTCGATGAGAAGTCGTGATTCGTGATCATGTCATGCGGAGGGATGGCTCTTGCAGAAACATTACAATAACTATGGGGTATAGTTTAGTCAACTATACAAAACCCCCTTTCTGGGTTATTAAACAACAAAATAGGGTCTGTCTCAAGTCAAATAAACACGTTTTACCTTGCTGGACAAACCAAGACAAATCAAGGCAGCAAGCAGCTGATGATCAACGCAACGTCGCCACTTTCCAGCGGGGATGCTATTTACCAGCATGAACTTGCAACCCCCCTATCTTCGCTTGACAAGGTTGACACCATCAAATTACGTCGGGGTCATTCATTCATTCGCTCAGCAACCAACCCTCCGTTTACGGAAGCTCAAGTTGGCCCTCGCGGACAGCGATCGACAACGTTGCCGTCTACCACCCAACACCAGCGGGCTAAGCGGTTGAACCGAGCAAGCCAGGGGCGGAACCAAGTCGCGACCGGGGAAAACCACGGCGTCGGAACGCTTCCGCTCAGAGGCGGCGGTTGCGCGCGAGATTGCACGATGCCAAGAAGGGAATGTCGATTTGTGGCTTGCCGAGGGCATGTCTTGGCCAGATAGTGCGACAGGGCGGTGCCCGGGTTGTCGGCAGGGCTGAGCAAGACGAAGACTCTCGTCTGCCAGGTACAGGGTTAAAGTTGATATCTCTATCAAAAAATGGCATGATGAATCATGTTTTACGTACAGGTTATAGATTGTATTATGGACCAACACAACGGCCAACTCGGGAATGTGCTTTCTACCAGAATTGTATCATTCACTGATGATACCACAACGGCTGATGGCGGTCAGTTACATATTGTCAAGGAAATTATTAATATGCCGTCTAATATATTGTTCGGCATTTACTAGTTATTCATCCGTTTCTGATACATATGTTTTGAAGGTCTTACCGCGGAAGCTCGGCCAAAGAGCTTCGCCCAGTCCCTGTGCTCGTGGCGACCACCATAGCAGAGCGCAACTATTCCGACACTCGTTTCAAAGCCGAATCTGACCGCAAGCTTTTGGGCGACTTGTAGAGTGCATTCATCAATTTCCCCTGATCCCGGCGGAGTTCTGTTTGCGGTGCAATCCCACAAAAGTCATCCTCCCTCCCTCCCTCTCTCGCCGCCGACGCCTACCTGCCCCCAAAAGAACAACAAAAGAACGATGGTGACTTGCCCCGTTCTTCTCGCAGTTTGCCCTCCCAGACGAAGGCCTGATCTCTATGTTCCATTGACCGTGGCGGATGAATGCTACCCAAGCACGCTATACCAAACACACATTCTCCAACAGACAAAGCGACAACGCAGACAAAAAAAGCGCAACGTAAACGCAAAAGAAGTAGCATAAATCCAATGCTGTCATTGCCAAACTGAATTACCCTGTCAACCAGGAGGAAGTTCTTCCTCTTCTTCTGCTTCTCTCCCTTACTTCGCTTTTAAAAAGACAGAAATATCGCAACGGAAAATATGCAGCTACACATCACCACCCTCCAACCATGACCACCACCACCACCACCATGCTCAGCCTCCCCCTCGTCCCCCGATCCCCTTCCCGCGCTGTTCTGCAGATCCTCCTCTGCGCGCTCCTCCTCCGCGCCCGCCCCGACCTCCTCCCTCCATGGCACCATATCCTCCCCATCCTCCTCCTCCTCCTCCTCCTCCTTGCCATCGCCATCAGCATCCTCCTTGCACACCGCCACCCCTCCTCCTTTCCTCCTCTCCTCCTCCTCCTAGAAGACCCTACCCCCTCTACCCCGCCACCGTCACCGCCACCGCCACCGCAATGGAAGTGGGCGATGCCCGGCTCGCCTCTCTGCAGGCTCGCCGCCGCACGTCTCCAGCCGTGCACGCGCGCACTCGCCGAAGCTCTCCGGCGCGCCGCCGCAGCTCTCCGCGCCGGGGTGCTGTTCTGCGTCGCCGCCGGGGTGCACGCGCTCGCGGGGCGTGTGCGCGGCGTTGATCCTGGCGGTTCGGCTTCTGGGAGTCCTGGCTGATGAGGCACGGCGCACGGCCGCCCGCCCGCTGCGGACGGGTCGGTCGCGTCTCCGCGAGGTGCGGAGCGCTCACCGGCAGTTGGGCCGCGACGTTGGCGTGGCCGCGGCGACGACTGCCGGGAAGAGTGCGCGGCAGCTCGTCTGGGTGTGCCTCTTTGTGGCGCACTTTCTCGTCTTTACTCTCGGCCTAACCATTGTGTTTCCCGGGCTGTGCGCGTACGGACTCATGGTATCATTTGTTCATTTACTACTTAGTCACGGCGCGACCACTCTCGCCAGCGATGTCGCGTCGTTCCTCGGCCTGTAAAACCTACGCCCCGACGCCGCAGATAGCCAGCCAGCAGCGCATCCCTCCCGAGCAAGACCATCCGTTCATGGGTATCACCAGGCCGTAACAGTACTTTATAGACAATATACAAACAACTTCAATATATATACTCATCCCCACCTCGTCCTACCCAGCGACTCGTCTGACCCACAGCGTCGTCGGTTCGTATACAGCTTCTTTGTTCTGTCGCTTGTAGGCCCGATGGAGCATAAGACCGAGCTCATGCTCCTCGCGTTGAACTTCCGCCAGTTCGGTTTTCAGGGCGTCAATCTTTTTTCGCTCCATTCCTCGCTTCCTTTGCACTTCGTAGCTGTCGAGGAGATTGTCCGTGGGAATGAGTTCCGTCATCTGCTTGACGCATTTGTTGATGTTCATTCGCCGGTTAGACAAGCTATCGAGCTGGGCAGTAAGATGAGCGATTCTGTCGCTTGCCGAAACCTCGGGCGGGGCAGGCGGCAGCGGTTTGCTTATGGACGAGAATGAGGCCCGCCGGGGCGTGACGATCGCGCCGTCAGCTCGAGAGTCGCTGGGCTTATTGGTGCTCTTGGCAGAGGCAGATGTCTCGGGCCGGGACACCAAAGCGCTTCGCTTGGCAGAGGGAGCATCCAAGACGGACCTTAGGCGTTCATTCGTAGGCAGCGGTCCGCCAAAAGGAGAGCCCAGCAGATTTGATTCCACACCAGTAGCCGGAGAGCTCTCAACAGACGTCATCCCAACTGTAGTGGTGGCATAGGTTGTCGTGCTAAATCTTGACGGGGGCTGTATCCAAGAGTCGCCCCCCGCCTGCTGAATAGGAGTCGGGCTTTCGGGTGTAAGCGGGTTGGGGATATCATTGTCATTAATAGGGCTGGATGCTAGCGGATGTGCATGATCGGTGTTTCTGATGTGTGCGCCCGGAGGTGGTTTGCGTTTGATTGTGATACTCTGGCCTGGGGAATACTGCGGCGAGGCGCGGGCTGCGGCGTTATCGTACCGGTCCTGATGGGGTGGTGAAGGATACACGTCGGGGCGAGGTTCGCTAGCATCCATATCGTACTGTGCACGAGGAGACTGCGTGGAAATACTGCCAGCCTTTCTGTGCGTTTTCGCAGAGATGAATTTGCGCATGGTAGCGCCAGGGCCGCTGGTTCCATCCATGCCTGGGCTACCCATATGCGACAGCCGGGAGCGGAAGCCGCCCTTCGGGGTGTTTCGTTTACCAATATTGTTGGAAAGAGATAAAGGCGGGACACTTAGGTCATCCTGCAAGGCGCTGACTTGTCGTTCGCGGCCACTGGCGCCGTGCCAGGGCGGCCGTGTATCGAGCGGCATGGCCTGTCTACCAGCTTGCTTTGAGCGCATGCCAAAGGACGAGTCTCGCTCAGGAATGATCGTCTGCTGCGGTGGTCGCTGCATTGGCGCGCTGGGTGCCTGCCTTTGCGGCGGCAGCTGAGGACGCCATGAAGCGTTTTCGTCTTTGACAGGCTTCCTATGCGATAGTTCTTGGTGATAGGCCGGCGCTTGGTCTATGCCGGAGGCTCGGACCGGGCCATGGCGAGACACCGAAGGCAGGCCGCACTGGGTGTCGGGAATGTGACGGTAATGAGGTGTCTCGGCAGGAGGCGTCAGATCTCGCGGATTGCCCTTGATGACTTGAACAATTTTCTCCAACGACGCGTCCGATTCGTCGTCGACGGGTGAGACAATCTCAGGTTGGGGGCTAAAATTGAATGCCCGTGTTAGTAGTGGTGGTTGGCTCGCAACGTGTACGTGTTGTTTGTACTCACGCTACGCGCCAGGAAGCGATTTCGGGAGAGCTGGGAGGGGAGACGGGCTGGATGGCCAGCGAGGGCGCCATGGCGAGAGCGCCGGAACCGTGTCGAATAGTGGTGGGAGAGGCGTCGTCGGGATCACTGCTGTCGTCGAGGCTGTAGCGGGAAGAAGAGCGGGCAGGCGCAACGGCCGTGTGGTAGCGAAGCTGTTGGAGGCGGCGCGGGTTGCGAGGAGGAGGCTTCAGTTCGGGAGAGGAGGGAGGACTGATGGGGTGATCGAGGGGAGAGGAATACGAGCTGTTTTGAGGAAGAGCCATGTTAGCAGAAGCGGACGTTGGTGGGTTGTGGTCAATGAGTGGTGGTAAGACGAGCGCGAGTGGGCTGTGTGGCTGTGATGGTGACGAGGCTTGGGTCTGTGTCCAGCTGGCCGTGACTAGGCAGAAGCAGTGGCATATGAGGCGGGGATGACGGGAGCGAGAAGATGCAGGAGATGAGGACGAGGCAAATTTGTGTATTGTGGAAGAAGGGAGTTTGGCGCGCGCAAACGGAGACGATGAGTTGTTGATGTGGTGGTTAGACGGGTAGCTGTAAGTAAGACAGGGAGGGCAGTTAGTACGAGGTAGTAGCGAGACAACTTACTCTGGGGGGTAAAGAGACTGGGGTACAGCTTTGCCGTTGAGAATGCGATATTTGTGTGTAACGTCTGTGTCTATGGTGATGCCGAAGGCACTGAGGGGATTATGGCGGTCGAAATTGCGGTTGAGGTCGAACTGGGAGCGTGAATGTGAAGACGAGAGGGAGGAGTATGCCTTGTGATGGTTATAATTAGCAGCGGCAGCTTCGGCCCTGCTGGGTAAGGAAGAAGAAGCAGCAGCGCCAGTTGAAGCGCAGCAATGGCGGGGCCAAAGTAGGAGGGATGTGGTGGAAGCCGACGCTGAAGAATGGTGCGGGCAGCTAAAAGAGCCGCTAACAGGGGAGCCTCTCGAACTGCATCGGGCAGGCCAAGGCCTGGCTCTGCGACGGTCCCACATTTTGGGCTGCAAGATGTCCCAAGGCCCCCTGCAATGAAAGCAACAAGACCCCTGTTATAAAGGCTGGAAAGCGTTCGTCAGTTCTTCCATTGTCGGCCACTTATTTTTAGCCAAGCTTACCAGTAACCCTTTCAGAGAGGTCCCTTTGTACTTGTGTCGTTTACAGTGTGTACCCTGGTACTACTGTAGATGACGCAGGGGCACGCCACGCGACAACTTGCCTCGTCTCTGACGCACCGTTGCCAGATGGCTGGCTCCTCGTCGATTCTTGGACCTCCGTATTTTGGGGGCCGGTTTTTTTTTTTTTCCCTTCTCGAGGAAACGATCCCCTGCCCTGTACTTGGGATGACTGGGAAACCAAACAACCTTGCCAGAGTTGGTAACCCGGAGCTGGAGCCCCCCCGGTTCCCTTCGTCGTGTTCGTCTCGGTCTGTTTGGTAGGCTCACGACTCCTCGCCCAGGTTGCCGTGTCGTCGTATCTGAGAGACCTTCTGAACCCAGGTAGTGGTCCAGAGAGCGATGGTCGAGTTCTGGTGTGACGCCAGTAAAATTGTCAGCAGATCGCGGTGTCTGAGTCGGCTGGGCAAATGCCGATGCTGGATGAGACGTGGTATAGGTATCGAATCTTGTATGGCGCCAATAGTACCGACTCGGGAAGCTCAAATCAACAAAACAGGGAGGATGATCGGAGGGGAGGAGACACGAAAAAGAATTACACATCCTCTTCACGGCAGCCACCCTCATCTTTATTGCCCAACGGGCTTCCCACCCTGGCCAGGTAAAAGTATAACCCACGTCTCAAGCGCCGCAAACACCACCCTCCTGGTCCTCCTCGTCCCTCTCACCTCCTTCACCTGGGTCTCGTTTCTGGGCCGCCTCGCATCATGTTTAACAAAAAAAAAAAGAAATGGTCCTGACGCCTGCCAGGATTACTGTGGTGCCACGTTGGAAGCCCATGAACCAGACAGACACACAGACGCCGACTTGGCTTTGCACTGCAGGTCCCGCTCTTCACGTCTGATACAAAGGGCCCGCCGCTTCTTCTCGACAGCAAGGAGGGAAGCAAAGCGATAACTAGCAAGAGTAAAAAATAAATAAAAACAAATAAAAATAAAAAAGGTCCGAGAGCATGCCATCCAGCCATTCATCATGCCATCACGCACTCCATCCTCTCGGGCCGCAATCACGGCCGCCCGCTGGCGGTCGTCTCCTCCTCATCGGGCCCCCCTCCCCCCAACACGGAGGCAGTCGCCGTTGCAGGACCGTTTCAGCGCCTCGCCCGCGCACAAAGGATTGGTCCAGCGTCGCCCAAGACAGACCGCCACGCCCAAAAGAGGGGGGTCACCACGACACGTTTATCTATTACCGAGAAAGCACTTGTGCTTTCTTTTTTCTGATCCGGTAATTAGTAGTACTACCTGGTCGTTCCGTCCCGCCTGCGTCTGACCTGCTTAGCCGCGGTCAAGAGGAAGGTGCTACCTTTACATATGGGTACTTGGTCTCCTGGCAATAACCAACAAGACAGCTGCAGGAGCATCGCTGGCCACTTGATTCCATCTCGCATGCATCTGCTGATGTACATACACTTATCAGTTTCAAGCCATTGTTGCTCCAAGCGAAAGGGGGGAGAGCAGCACGCACCACTGATCTTCGAGCCAAAATAGAAACACCCTCTTTATGAGCTGCTTTTGCGCTGGATTCCATCGGCAAGCCTGTTGACGTCAACTTTGCCCGCGGCTCTCCAGTCAGCCCGCACCCCCCTCTCTGCAAGTGTCTTGATTAATCATGCCATGTATCAATATCACCTTCGGTCGATGGAGCAGGGGTAAACCCGGTGATCGCTAAGAGAGACTTCGTTTTGTTTCATACCCACCGCCGTTCTTATCGATTTAGGCTTTTACAGAGCAGAGCACAAGGTGTGACCCCCCATCTCGGCTTTGTCTAGTGCGTGTCAGTATTTGAGATGCATAGATGTTGATCCGGTGACCGCAGCTCTGCTTCCTACCTGGAAATTTTCCGCGGCCCATTTGCAGTGACCATGCACATGGCTTTTACCGGCAGCGGCAGCATCCGAGCCCAACGACCGCTAACCAACGAATGAATAAGAGAGTATGCACGTGTCGGGTATCCAAGGCTTCTCAGGTACCGTAAGTTTTGGCATCTTGATGGAGCGAGAGTGCCAGGAAGATGGTCTCTCCTTATGACGGGCCCTACCCTGGAGGGGGGGCCGTGACTGCGATGGCCCCTGGCCTCGCTTGACATCGGTTAAGATGTCTGCGCTCGACTTTGGCGCGAAGAGGACATCTACTTCCCCAGGCCTAACAAGTTCTTTGTGCGAAATCCCCCGTCTGCAAAACACGGCTAGCCCTCGCGCCTCCAGGGGTCGAATTTATCTTGAGGAGCTTCGTCCACATACACCCACCCAACGTACCCAAGGCCTTGCCTGAAACTAAATTTCCCGGTCCTGTTCAAGTACAAGTGAGACAAGCAAATTAAGCTAGTCCTTCGACTGCTTCTAAACCTAATCGATGATTCTATTTCATCATTGCAAAGAGGTATTTCCATCCCTTCTATGACGCCAAAGTAAACAAAATACAGTAATGGAGAAACAGAGTAAGAAACATTGCCCACGCAATCCCATTTGCTTCCACCTGTAATGGAAAGCCCTCATGAATTGACAAGCAACGGCAACACATATAAATATACAGAAAAAAAGCGCTCATAATCCCTCTCATAAGTTCTTATGTCATTTGAGCCCAACTCCAACAGCCCAGAAAACACGCAATATCATAATCCGTATTTCTCTCCACAACGACGCCGCAGCAGTCAATCCTCGACCTTGACCCGCTTCGGTTCCATCACTTGTATAAAGTCGTCTGCCTCCATATCGTCCGATCGTCGTTTCGCTTCAGCAACCGCGGGCGTGTCCTCACTCTCATGCTCGCACACCGCTTCTGCTCGCTCGTCCTGCAGCGCGCACAAGTCTAGCCTCTCCTCGCCGTCCGCGAGCGGGCGCAGGTATTCGGGCGGAATGGCAGTCAGGAGCTGGCAGTGCGCCGCGCACGGCTTGTAAGTCTCCGTGCTCCACTCGTTGTCGGCGTAGTTTTTCGCCTCGGCGAGGGTATACCCCGTGCTGTACCCCTCATGGTACGCGTCCGGCAGGACGACAATCGTCTCGCCGGGCCGCTGGTCGACGATGCGGTAGGGGATACCAAGCTTTTCCAGCTTCTCAGGGAAGAAGAACTCGGCGCGGTGCCGCATGAATTGCGAGCAGCCGTCGGTCCCGCGACCCAGGGCCCGCTCAGCCAAGTCAATCGCCGTGCACGGGACCACGATCCAGATCTTGCGCCCGCGGTAGAGGTGATTTAGGGATAGCAGTCGGTAGTCTTCCGCGTGGATCTGGAAGGTGGCGCCGAATTGCGGCGCCGACTCGTATACGTACGGCGTGTGGATGCCGGGGATCACGGCTTTGGTGTGGTCCAGCATATCGCCCCGGAGCGGGTGGATGGGGCTCCAGTCCGCAGGGACGCCGGCTGCGCGGCGCTGCTCACTATTCCAGGCGGGCACGTCCGGGCGGTACCGTACATTGCGCATCTGCCTACCCATGTTCTTGCGGAAAATGGTCTTGAGCGTCTTGAGCGTCGCTTCAACCGACTCAGTCGGCTCCGCGTCCACGTCCTCTGGGGTGTAAAACTCACCCTCCGACCTAATCGTGCTTAGTTGCCAAAATGTCGTGCGACGAATTTGCTTCGCCTTGTAGGCATTGGCTGGCAGTGTCTGAGTGGGCTTGCGCGGCAGCGGGCGGCGCAGATCGGCCGGCAGTTTGAGCTTGAAGCACCCATCATCGCATGCACCGAGCTTCCGCGCAAACGCCAGCAGCGCGGGGAAGTCATCCCACTGGGCGGCCGTGGGACAGAGTCGGATCAGGCGATGGCCCGAGGACTCGTCATAGTCGTATGCAAACTCTTCCGTATCACTGATATCGCTGAGAGGCGTGGCCGGAGCGTAATCTTTTTCGGCGCACTGTTGCAGGGGTGACGAAAATTCCGGGCGCGGAGAGTTCATGTCGGAGCTGGTAGCGGTGATGGCCGAATTCGGCGGCTCTAGTAAGATGGTGGCGGGTGGTGGGGGAGTTGTTGAGATGGTTGGTGTGGTGTCGGTAGCGACTTCTGTTGAATCTGCATTCTTGACCACTTCCTCATTATTGGCCTCTTGGACTGTGTTTTCGCACGCAGCTGCGACGGAGGGGGCGACAGTGTCGCTAGTGAGGGCGTTCATGCTCTCCTCGGTCGAGGTTGCACTGTCGACGTCTTGGTTTGCAAAAGCGGTTGTACTGGCGGTCGCGGTCGCTATCGGCAACGGTTCCTGTGTCTCCATAACAGGGAACTTGACCAAATCGACAACATCGTCGTCGCTGTTGCCATCTTGCTCGTACGCCTCGGCGAAAGTCTCTGGGCGCGCAGCTGGCCACTCCAGTATCGCAGTGGCCATCGCAACTCCAAATGCGCCCGCTATTGCTTTGTCCACGGGTAGGCTTTGTATATGTAGCGTATGAAATATTAAAGAGCCAGGGATCCGTGAGCGTCGAAGGATGAGCCAGACTATGCGAGGCTCTCAGGCGTCGGAACAACGAGTAAGAAGAAAAGAAGGTCGGTGACCGAGTCGTGGCTGGCGCCAAAGTCAAACAAAGAAGCGAGAGAGCGGGTGACAAGGCAGGCAGGTCTCGGTGTCGGGCGGCGCTTCCCAGAAATGGGGGTGAATGGGCGTTTGGGTGATGTTTCGGGAGATGCGCGCACGTTGACGAGGATAAATCAGATGAAGAACGAGAGTACAGAGAAGAGGGCCAAGAAATCAAGAAGTAGTCGCAACGACTTGTCAAGGTTTTACATCGTTCTAAGTGGCTGCCAGATTGGTTGCCAAGTTGCGGCCGAAGAGCGTCCAAGCCAAAAGCCAAAAAAGCCAAAAAAGCCAAAAAAGGCCATTAGTAGAGACACCGATGCATTCAAGTGACTAGAAGAAGTGGGGGTGGGTCCATCTTGTCCTCCGCCAGCCTCGTCTGGGTCTCTCCACTTGCTTCCCTCTAACAAGGTCATGAGCGTCATCTTCACTCCGCAAGCCCGTCCAGGGGCCCTCTGATCCCTTCACAATCGCAAACCGTAAAAACTTCAATAGGACTGCCATTGTTAGAAATTCAAAATAGCATATCGAAAAAGCAAAAGCCGTTCGCTCAATTCAACAAGGTTCACGAGACATGGCCGCAAGACGCACACGTCTCGCAGCCACCCTTCTCTCCCGCGACGAATAAAGAAGAAAAAACCCCCTAAAAAGTAATTATACAAATAGACTCGCCCGCACAGTAAACTTCCCAAGCTCTCTCACGCCTTGGGATGCAACCCGATAAAAAACGCCAGCTCCAGGTCCTTCTATCCCAGCACGCCGTCCGCGGTGCCCTTTCTAGTGTCCCTGTCGTTTGTATGCAAATGTCGTAAGGCATTTAGTTCTTCCTTCAACCTCGCTCCCCAAATATTATAATAATGACCGTCCGTGGCTCTGCCATCCCAGGCTAAACGAAGCAAAACATAATAATTTCAGCAGTTCGTGATACGGGCTTCCGTTCCCGCATCCGAGGGGTATCAACAACGCGCGTTTCGTCTTCCACCGGCTGTTTGGAAATGCTGCTACAAGTCTCGTCCAGCTTAGTAGCCGTCGTACGTCTTGTACCCGTCATCTCGGCCGTTGCTGGCACGCCCGTAGCCGTTCGTCATGCCATTGGCACCGTTCCGCCCATACGGGTCAATCGATTCTCGTGGCGAGTTGATGGGACTGTACGCAGACGACTCAGCGCTCGCACGTATGCCCCCTAGCCCTTGAAACGGCGGTGGTGCTGGTAATGAGTTTTGTGAAGATCCCGTGTGTAAAGTGCTGCGAGGCGAAAAGAAGCTCGCCGAATCCACGGGCGTTATCGACCCGTCATCATCGTCTTCTAGCTCTCCCGCCGGCGTCGGACGAATCTTGCAAACGCGGAGAAGTTCGACAATAGCCGCCGTCAGGTGAGACGCGGCAGCATCCACCAGCGAGACCGGCGAGATACCCGCCCCGGAAGCAAAGTTCTTGGTAGCTGTGATAAGATTGTTGGCTGTCGCAGAAACCCTGGCCTTGAGTTTAGCCTGTTGTTGTACTAACTGTTCGTCGTGTCGTGCTACGCCGTCGGCGTCTCTCGTAATCCGCCGCACGCTAACCACGACAGCCTTCATCGCATCAATCGTCTTCTCCGGGTTGTCTCTGCGCGCCGACTGAAGCAGCTCATCGACGGAAATTTGATATTTGGTGACGTTGACGTCCTTAACAAGGCCATTGTCGTCGCCAAAGCCGTTTTCACGGATCAGCCGCGCGCCTTCACTATCATCAGTCAAGCCGAGCGATGAAGAGCGTAGACTGCGGAGCTGTGTTTTTGTACGGGCATATCGGTTTCGCCATTCTTTGACTTCGGCCTCGAGCGATTCGACGTTTCGTTCCAGCTCAACTTGCTTTTCATACCGTGCCTGGCTCTGCTCAGAGAGTGTGCGCATCTCACGGAGGAACTCTTGTGCCTCTTGACGGACCTCTTCGGTGACGCGTTGCTGCCGATCAAGCGAGTTGCGTAACTCCTCATTCTCAATCTCCAGGTCTCCACCCCCGCGTATGCTGCCCGAATTGCGCTCCATATCTTCTAACCTTGATTGTAAGTCGCGGGTTTCGCGGGCATGACTGTCCTGTAGCCTGCCCAGCTCTTGCTTCATCGAATGATTTCGGGTCTCGGCCTCAGCTAGCTTGTCCGCCCATTCCTGCTTTTCTTGTAAGTTGTCGTCCCTTTTCTGGCTTTCCATGTCAGAAAGCTTCTCTCGTAGCTCTCGAAGTTGTACTTCATAGTCCTCAATGAGTTTTCGGTCGGCCTAAGAGTGAGCCTGTTAGCATCGAGCGGATACTGTACTGCACAAACTGCGTCGCAACTTACTTCTGACGTGCCCTCACCGTCATCCTCCTCGAGCATGATACTTTTATTGGGAATTATTGTATTATTCTGGTTAAGTTGCTTAGGCAGGGGTCGGTTGTAGTCGCCGTTGCTGAGACCTGGGGACGGGGGAACGCCGTATGGGTCTGGGGGTGGCGGGCCGCCTCTCATGGAGCTTGCGTCGGACGGACGGCGACTCTGACCTCTGGGCGGGAAACCACCACCATTCACGGGGGTACCGGTGCGACCGCCGCTGCGGTTGGACATGGCGCTGTTCCCACGGGGAATGTCACCTCCCACAAACCGGGGGAATCGCCGCTCAAGCTCGGAAAAGACATCAGCGGCCAGGTCTCGGAATCGAGGGTGGCCGAGGGATGAGAGCCGTTGCCGGGCCTGGTTTCGTTTCGGATGAAACGCCTTTTCGGGAAGCAGGAAGGCGGGCGGGCGGTTGGGAGCGTTTTTGGGGATGCGAGCGGAGGCTTGCCTGCGCATCAGCTCGTCGAAGACATCGGTACTCAGCTCGAAGAACTGAACAGAGGAGAGTCGCAGGAGCTTATCGCGCGCCTTGTTGGGCTGCTGCTTCGCGGCCGAGTCACGCGAGTTGAGGAAGACACGGAGGGTAAGGTAGTGCTCGTGGAGGACGCCCTCGTCAATGGGCCTTTGCTGGTCGTCGGGGCCGCCTCTTGGGCCGCCGTTGGGAGGACCAGCATCGCTCCTGGCGTACATGTTGGTGCCGCTGGACGAACGGCCGACCGAGGGAGGCGGAGAAGGGCCGCCGGTGCTCCTAGGACCGCCGGGGAAACCGTTGATGCTCATGTTGCCGTTGGAGCCGCCCGAATGGGGGGGCGAGGCGAGGTTGCCGCGACTATTAGGATAAGGACCGTCGGGACCGGGAGGATATTTCGACATGGACCATTCGTTTCCACCTACAGAAATCGGAGAGAGCGGCGCATTGCGACCAACGGCGCTCATGATCGTGAGGGGGGGGTTGCGGAGGGTGTTTGGAGGAGAGAAGGGAAAAGGACCGTGGGCGGTGTCTTGCTTGGTTCCAGGAGTCAAACAATAGCGGCAGGCACGCCGGCACGGGGGACGGGGGGCGCAGGTGGGCGTGTGTTTTGGGAGGTCTTTTGAGCTGACAGTAGGGGTACCTTGGGCGCTGCGGGACCACTGAGCATTTGGCCAGGATAGGGCTGTAGGCCGGTGCTTGGGGGGCTGTTAGCAGCGTCTTTCACAAGCTGCTTACAGTAGTTGTGCCGTGTGGCAGCTGTTGGCAGTGGGGCAACTCGCTCCTGCCGTGTTACCCCCTTGTCTCCTTGCCTTGTGTGTGTTCGGGGACTGAGTCCTGGGATCCTCAAGGGAGGATGACTTGTTATTGATTGATACTTTGGCCTCCCTGGGAGTCGGATGCCACTTAATTCCACTGTTCGTTGTCGAGTGCTGATGAATGCCTCGTTGTTGCGCCGGTAGGCAGTAGATGAATCCTCCGACCAGCCGCCCACGCTGCTGAAGTTGGACTGGTGCAGTATCTGGCTTAGTACGGCGAGAATAGACCGCAGCAATTCTGGCATCTAGTTACTGGCGGACTATATACTTCAATCTTGCTGTCTGTCGCCCTGAAAATCTATTCAAGAGCCTACTGCTCGGAAACGCAACGGAATCTAACGGAAAGCTTACAGTGGCTCGAAATCCAAGAAACACAGCGTAGCCCGCACCACTGACACAAAGGCCAAACGTGGAACTCATTTGATCTCGTGTGCTTGTTCCACGCGAGAGGGCAGATGGTGATCAATGATGAGCGAAAAAGCGGCTGTCGCCGGCCATGATCACTACTTCTTGTCGTCGTCGTCGTCGTCGATGAAGTAATAATGCTAGTTACTGGTGACTAACTAACTAGTTAGTACTTGGCAGTAGGACTCTGCGACAAGGACAATACAGCTAACTTGGTGTCTACTTTGGTTTGAAACGGCTGCCGCAAGGGGGCGTGTGTGGACTTGCGCGGTGGATTTGGGCAAATAGCAAAGACACGGAACAGAACAAAGACACGGGTTAGAACAAATGAACAAGAAACGGGAAATGAGCTGTAGTTGGCAATTTCTGAGCGCCCACAACTCGATGGGGAGGACCAGGCCGGGGGTGACGATTCCAAGGAGATTTGGTAGATAAATATGGCGATAAGTGGATTTTGCTATTGGGGAGGGTGTGCTCGCTCTTTGCAAAGGATAATTGGGGTGATGATGGTGAAGAAGTTGCCGAAATCAGCGTCGTTGGGGCCGGACTCCAGACAATTATTAGTACGGAGTACAATGAAAGAAAATAGTTGCGTATGTATTATTACCTACTGGTTGTCATTGGGGTCCCGTGGTCATCGCATGCATGATCAAGAACACAACTGAGGGCGCGTAGCGAGATGATCAAAGTTCGCTAACTTGTTATGACTACCACCAGTCTGATTCAGTATTGTCGTTACCGAATTCTGCGTCTGGATCCTTGTCTAACTAGCTGCATCGCCACAGGTAGCAAACAACTGACAACTTTTATACCCAGCCTACGAGTTGCCATATCAGAACATGACAAGGTTTGAAAAGAGAGAACAATCTCACTGCTTACCCGCGCTGCATTCGGCACTTGATAAATGCTCGCTGCTGTGACGAGTCTCGTGATCACAACACCACCCTTTTTCGCAAACTCGCTCCCTTCCATCCATCCATCCATCCATCATCCACCACTCACGCAACGCCGTGAAATTATCTGGTGGCTTGTCCCTTTCTCCCCTGAAAGAGCCCACCTAAAGTCCCCCCCTGATTTGCTCACTTTGTCCACCAATGGCTGCTGGCCAAGTCCACGCTAGATTAGCGGCGACCTCTCCTCCGAGATGCGCCCTGGGTAGCGGGTCTAGGCTTCCTTCGTTTTTCTTCTTTGCTCAGCTCTCTTTCCTCGCCCAATTCCGGTTCCTTTCTCCTGCAAGTGAACAGAGAGATGGATGGTTCGGTTACATTGGTGGTGTGGAACCTCTACAAGCCACCTGCCTTTTCTCTTCATCACCGCAGAACAATCCGACCATTCACCATCTCGTCTCATTGCCATTCTACTGGTAGCTTGTCGTTACCAGCGCGCTTGTCTCCGCCGTTCTTCTTCTGGAGCCGGTAATCCCGCCGGCCAATTTTCACGGCCAAGCTTTTAACTTTCCGGCGTCGCTTCCGTTACTGATTCGGAGTAGCAATTGCCAATTGTTCACTCAGTCCTTTTCCCTCCCGCAGTTTCAACGTTTCAACACAACGGTAAAACAATAACTGAGAAAAAGAAAAAGCTTGACTGTTTAACCCGCTTACTTTAGACCTAAACCTTCTTAAACGGGGATCCATGACCGACCGGCTTCTAGCCCGTTTTACATGTTGCATGTATACTGTATTAGCGGGCCAGCATTTCCGCAGCGCAACGTTCGACATCGGTATGCTCGCATTTTTAAAGTGACAATCAGCCCCAGGCTCATACATAGCCCTATCTATACCTTGCCTATAAAACGTTGGATGGTGATTTCACACCCTTGTTCGCGGCGGCTCCCAGAGCGTCGAGGAGACAAAGGAAGATGGAGCAAAACGAGAGAGAGCGAGAGAGAGAGGGAAAGTTGAAGTGGCCTAACCGTCCCACCTGTGAGGTCGTCCAAACGCGCCAAGACTTGCGTCAATAAACCGCATGTGCGAATTATTCCAGTGCTAATAACCGAAGCTCCTCCATATTTGTACGGACTGCTCGCCAGGCCGAGTGCCGTGGAGGACGGCGGCCCTTGCATGGTCGTGAAACATGTCTCGAGATTCTTCCTTGCAGCTCTGCCCTGCCTAGCTACAGCAATCTAACGAGAACATCACAGACCTCACTTATTCCAATCACACCTGCCCAGTCTCTTGAACGTATTTCTTTCTCGGCGTCTTCCTTACCTTTTTTTTTCTTTTTCCATCTTAGGCTCACAATGCGCGATCCTAGCGTGAATCAATCGACGGCGAGGTCAAGGTCTGCATATACGAGGTCGCGGCTCCGCATAGGCTCCCGTTTTTATGGCGCCCGGATCGTCTTATGCACGGCCGGTCGAGGATCTTGGCTACAAGCAGCTATATGCTACCACGAATGGCTTCTTCAACTCCCCTCGAATTGCTCGTGTAATGCGGTAATCTAGTTATACAGCTGGTCGTCACATCATTACCAATGAAACCACAATGCACAGCACTTCGCTGTTCAAGACTAGAACCAGGCCAGTGTCCAGGTACATGGCAGATTTGGCCATCTCTCTTGCCAAGCGGCAAGAATATCCGGTACGCGCTCGTCAAATGCGGCACGGCTCGCGGCACCGCCCAAGTCGAAGGCGCTGGTTCCAACAGCTTCGCACTCCTCCCTGGCGGCTGCATTAAGCGAGTTGGCAAGATCCAAAATGCCCTGGCCGCCAATGTGCGCCTCTTCATGGTTATCTTTAATTTCGACATTGATGACATGAACTGGTCGGTTCAGTGGCGAGCCTCTGTTCATGAGGTCATCTACGACGGCGTCCCAGCAGCGCTCCTCGCAAGTGAAGACAACATCAACTACGCCGCCTTCACTGCCTTCGCTGCCCCGGTCGGTTGTGTGCTTGAGACGAGGAACGCCAATGGCCCAATCCTGCCAGCGCTCTGGTCCCCACTTCACCCCGCGATTTCTCGAGAGCATATTTAGGATTCCGTTGTTCTTATACAATCTGGAGTCCTTGGATTCGAGTTCCTTGTACATGCTATCGTACGACGTCTTGTTGAACTGATAGACGTTGGGCTGGGTAATGGTCGGTCCAGGAAGACGCACAAGCGAGCCCGTACCGAAAGAGATGACAGGATAGTTGGCTTGGGATAGTCGTAGATGGGCTTCCATGGATCTAGCATTCGTTAGACTAAGCTGCAGCCACATGGGTATACGAGGAGGCAACATACCGGTTCTGGTTACTGGCACAGACGGTGCAGAACTTGAGTTTGAAGTCGCCGGGACCACTATCTGTGCCATTGGCGGCAGGCGCCCCGTTGGCTGTGGCCGCCATGTTGGTATGGTATCGCGGTTCGTCGCGCCTGGAGAATTGTACGGACAGGGTCGCTGCCAGGGGGCGAGGACGACACTGTGCGCCAGCGGTTAGTTGGAATGCTCGGTAGAAACAAGGCACGACACAAGGTTGAAGAACGAGTATCCCATCAGTGGTAAGTTGTTTGCGTATAAAGTGTCTATCCACATGCAAGCTTCAGACAGCTCCAATAATTGAAATCATCACGGAATTGGGCAGGAGCATCAATGGCGGCTTCTTACCTGGCTCAGTAGAGTTTACGTCATAAGATGGATGAGAGTATACCGTCGTTCCACCAGCTCAACCGGTGGTATGTGACGATGACATTCTTGGAAAACGAGAGAAGCATGTGCGATGTAAATTTGCAACGCGTGGAAAAGGCGAGACAGTTGTTGTGGGAGCTGGAGTGGGGGCGATGGTTAAATATCGGCTGGTAATGCAGACAGGCCGGTCGTGACCTTGCCTGCCACCGTCATTGGGTTCTGCGATCCTCCAACCCTATGCTACCCTTTGTTACTGCCAGCTTTGGAGGAGGCAACCTGGATAGCTTTGGGGCGGGCTTGAATTTCGAAATTTCGACAGCAATTGACCAAAGCTGAGGGTTTGAAGTCGCGCGCAAAATGCCAGCTCCGACCCAGGGGATCTCAGGCACGTTCGCGCGGAAAGCCCGCTCAACAGCGAACCGATATTCACGACTATGAGAAAGATATATTGATCTCTCCGTTGAGCGTCCTGAGGTGCTCTGGGCTCGGTTTTCTCAATCTCAATGAAGGTTTTTTTTACTTGGCCGAGAAAGGATTAAGCAGTCCAGCGGCCATCTATCTGCACGGCGGCTGACCAATGAGGTGTGGCAAGAATGTCTGTGTGTAGGGTAGGTACATTAACTACCGTTACCAGACGCCCTAGGTACGCGCTTCAGGTCACGCCGGCGACAGCGCGGCAGAGCGAATCAGAGAATAGAAGCCGGGAAAGCGACATATACGTACCTAAATTACATTTCTTCGTTAGAATTAGGCGGCACGTAGGTAAGGTTACCTAGAAGTTACTATGGTAGGTAATACGGGGAACTGGATTATAACCTAGTTGTGTAGAAGTGAAGTGGCCTGAATCACAGCCTGTTGCTTTCTGGAAACTCGTCCTTGATTGATTTTTGACACATTCATCACGGGTTGAGATTCTGCTGTCTAGCTTTAGAGTCAAATCTTATGCTGTTGGTGAAGAGAGGATAGCGGCTATGGCTTCATGTGAGCGAGTATGGCCGAGTGACTTTCAATCTATGCATTTGTACAGATTATTTATGACTGGCCTCCAACACGGCCTCGCACGTGGCGCCGCCGGGATTAGCACTTTACAGCCCTGCTCGGCGGTTTCATGATCCCAGCTCCGTGGCGGCAGCCGTCGGCTACACATCGCAGGGTTCTGTCGACGCCGGAAGTCTTGGCCGTGACCACATGCCATGAAAGGATACCAAGTTCGTCCGGCGGCAGAAGATCCCTGGTTCTTGTCAGTCCCCCTGATAATCATAATTAATGTAACTAGTTGGTCGTTTGGGCAGATTGCTGTTATGCGTCTATTTGTATTCACGGCTGGGTGGGCTTTGGGCCGCAATGTGCCAATGTGGAAATTGTGAGGCATTCTCAGCCTCAAGTATTCGCGTCTTTTACGAACTTATCCGTGTTATGAATGCAAACATGTCGTACCACGTTGGACGCTGACGTGTGCGCAAGATTCTATTTTTGTCTGCAACCCGGGCCGGGCTCGGGTAATGCGAGCAAGCACCTTTACTAGGTACATACATACATACATATGTAAACAGGTACATACATAGGTACATACTGTACATACATACATAAGTAATTCGCCTTCTAACCCCACTGGATAGTTGGCGTTTCTGGCTTACCAGCATTGAAAGATTGGAGGGGCTGCTGGTCTCCTTGTATTCTTATTATTATAGCAACTGGTCTTTTTTCCACCTCTGAATGATTGGTGTAATAAATAGTTTTGCCAGACAGCAGCCTTGCTGATCGTATGCCAGGGGACGCTGGAGGGCTTGCACCTCCCTACCTGGGTTAGGCAGGGTCCAGTGCATTGTACCTGCTACCTATGTAGGTACTTTTCTACCTACGGAGTATTTACCTATTAACGACCTCAGGAAAATATTCAGGTACATGGCTGCAATCGGCCGGTCATGACCGATCTGTTGGTGACGAGTCGCAAGGGATGGAAACAAGGCGTGTGCACAAAGAGGAGTTCTTTGCCTGAGCGGCCGGCCCTGGTCACCCGGAGATGGCTGATTTTGTTGCTGGTATTTTCCGTGGTTTTGGATGCGCCCAAGCGCCATCTGGGGCTGGATAGTTTTATAATTCATGCCGAAACATCCTCACCTTGCACTGGTTACCTAGGTATCCGTATTTAGCTTTGGTAAATGTCAGTCTAACCTGGTACGGAGCAGGCAGCGATCTTGTTGGGGCTGCTCACCACGAGGCAGGTGTGCCTTCGACTGCTGATATAGCCCGTCAACACACTCGACGCCTTAACCTGAGTCGCATCCTGCATCAACCAATACACAAATGCAAGTTATACTTGGTGGTTATACTGCATGCCTTCCCCTTCTCCTCCTCCTCCTCCTCCCTCCCTCCTTTCTTCCATGACTGGCCTGTTCCCTCCAACCACTCTGGGCTCTGATTGGCGGCCGTGGCCCTTTTTAGCGCCAGCTTCCAGCTAGCACAATGGCAACCCCAGTCGGCGGGCCAGCCTGGGCCAACCTGCCTGCTAAAATAAAGTACTCAGGTACTGTAACAGCTCTTCAGTTTAGCACCTCAGCAAGGCACCGGCTTCCCCTCCACATCTTCTCCTCTTCTTCCTCCTCCTACTCTAATTTTCTCCCCTGCGCCCAAGCCTTTCTTCATCTCACCACGCGCCCTCCTTTTCATTGCTGCCAAGCGCGAACAGGGCCTTGCCAAACACAACCCTTCCTCTCGTCTCTCTCTCCTTGTCCTGGGCCACGCCGACCCCAGGTCGCAGTCGCAGCCGTGTGCTCTTGTCGCCTTGCCCGCCCCTACCTACCCCACGCTCACGCCTGCGCCTCTTCTCCAGCCGCTGCGAAGTTGCCTACTACCTCCAACCTGCCGACTACCAAGGTTGCGCCAACCGCTGGCCAGAATCAGCAATCTCCGTCGCCCGTCTCTCATACTCACCGACTGCACATAGACGGAATCACCAGCAAGGTCATCGAACGGCCTCTCCTCCCGACTCTCCTCGCAGTGCGGCTTGTTTGTTTCCCTCCACAACCTGCCCACCTCCCGACCACCATCTGCTTCATCCCATCACGGCACCGCCGCCCCGTTGCGACCGCTGCCCGCGTCGTACTTACCAAGCACAAGCACCTAGCGCACAACCAGCGTCAACTACAACTGCTGGTGCGCGGTCCGCCTGTCAAGGCGCCCGTCCACCTGCCCTTATCCGCGACGGTATGACAACAACAGCGCCTACGTCGGTCACTTCTACCCCTTCGACCTCTTCTGCCAACGACGCCTCTCCCGCCTCGTCCAAGGCCAACACCTCGGCCCTGCCTCCGCTCACCACGACCACACCCACCGCACGCCGATCAACCCTCTCCCGCCCAATGTCGCACGTATCAAGGAACCGCCTGTCCCAGTTCTCCACGGGCTCTGTCCCATCCAAGTCGAGGCCAGAGTCGAATGCCTTTCCGCTCTTCCCTTCCACTCTGTCATACACCCTTGTGCGCGATTTCGCGTACCCATATACAAATCCCCTCCATTACGGCCCACCTCCAGAACCTTCCGGGCCCCCCTCAGGATGGACAACTCCTGCTAGCGAGAGTCGCAGACTCTCGGACCCCCCGGTCGCGTGGGATCATCGCCTTTCTTCTCAGTTCTGGGGCTCTGACAGATTCTCACGGGCCCATGACATCCCTCCCATCCACTGCAGTGATGGCGGCCCTCCATACAGCGAAGACGAAGACCTACAGAGCCCCGTGGTCGCCACTCGACACCGCAAACACAAGTCTACAGCGTCTGCGAGCGGTGCACGCCGCAGCCAAATTCTCAACCCTTCCAACTACGACAGTGAGAGGGGCTACTACGTTGGTACTAGCGGGGATGGCCATGAGAAGTATTATGTGAACCAGGGAGGGGAAGCCAATGGCCCTGGCGGCGAGTTTGTCACGTATCCTCCCGATCAATCACGGCATAGCCGTGCTTATCACTACGATCAGACTGGTCGTCCCCGCGACGAGTATGATGTCTCCGAGAATGCCAGCTCGCCTGCATCATCTGGCTTCCACGATGCGGACCAGTCTCGCTATTCACGGGATTACCAATTCACCATCACCTCACCCGATGAGGAATTTCACGGTAAAGCCGTTGCTCTTTTTGACTTTGCGCGTGAGAACGAAAATGAACTTCCTCTTGTGGAGGGCCAGATTATCTGGGTCTCGTACCGACATGGCCAGGGCTGGCTGGTGGCCGAAGACCCAAAGACACAGGAGAGTGGTCTGGTACCCGAGGAGTATGTGCGGCTACTGCGTGATATTGAAGGTGGAATGAATAGTCTCACGGGCAATCTTAACGATTCCATGGGCTCCGGAAACGACGCTAGCACCCCGACACAGGCTGAGCACTTCAGCCATAGCCAGCCCACAGGCACGGGCGGCGGCAGCGGCGGCACAAATGGATACCACCAACCCGTCGTATCCATGTTCTCTACCTCGAGTAAAGATCTCAACCCTTATCCAACTGAACAACTGGGCATTCATGCTGGGCAAGCCCCACCACAAGTTGTGCATTACCATGGCCAACGCGGCGGCAGCCAGACAAGCACACCAACAATTAACCAATCACAAGATACGCCCACTCTTCCCAAAGAGAATGATGACGGACTCTCAAAGGAGGATAGGCGATCATCCCGACAGGCTGCTAGAAATTCCAAGACTGTTGCTGCACCAAGGGATGAAGAACGCATCCGCTCGCAGCACCGATGAGGCGAGCTTGGCAGCCTATCATCATGAAAGCAACCACAACCAATATTATAACTGCACCTCAATGGATACACCAAGGGCATAGCTTTACTCCGACGGCTGGTCTCCACCGTTCAGCAAAAAGCTATCTGCAAGTCCGCTGAGATGGCGCAACACAAGTGACGAGACACAGGTCGGCTCCAAGACACTGAGATGACAACTGCCGATGTAGCATCATCGCCAGAATGAAACTTGCAATTGCACTTATGGACTGGGAGAGGCCCGGTCATCCTCAAGTCGGCTGTTTTTAGATGATTATCTGCCCGCAGCCGGTGGTACAGGATATGCATGCCCCATGGAGTAAGCAAATAGGCAATGCTCAGCTGCCTACCTAAACAGTCTAGAATTAAATCCAATAGACTATATTCCACCGTTGGATACCAAAACAAACCCCCCCCCCGGTTCAACTATCATGACAAACATCCCTTTGTGTACTCGGACTCGTTCAAGTAGAGGGAGTTGCTGTGCATCGTTATCACGTGCATGGCGTAATCTGCACCTGGTGGGGAGCTCACAGCGGTTGCTACGCTGTGTTACGTCAAGACACTCCCGGTAGCTCCCGCAACATTACGTCTCTGCAAACACGGTTGTTCTCGAGGACCAATTGCACACCGTTCAACCTCAAAAATCTATCAAAAATGTTTGCACGATCTGCTTTCCGCGCGGCTCAGCCGCTTAGAATGGTATGTGTTGTTATTTTCCTCTTGCGCATAATACAATTGGGACATATGCCCTGTTGCTCTCGTTTTGGGCGCACCCCCGTCCAGAATTGATTTCAAAGCAGAACCTTAACCAATTCTAAGCCGCACTCTTCGCCGCAAGACCACTAACAACCATCGCAGCACGCCCGCCGCTTCGCGACCGAGACCGGCCCTTCTGCCGCCCAGCAGGCCGCTAAGCCGGCCGCCGCCGCGCCCAAGGCTGCTCCCGCCCCCCCTCCCGCTGGCGGCGGCGGCGGCAGCAACGTCATCGCCTATGTCTTCGGCGCAGCGGCCCTGGGCGGCGGCTACTACTACTACAGCACCCAGGCCGGCGCCGCTCCCAAGCAGCCGGCCAAGCCAGCCTTCACCGGCGGCGATCAGGGCTTCCTGCCGCTCAAGCTGGCCGAGGTCATCGACGTCAACCACAACACCAAGCGCTTCCGCTTCGAGCTCCCCGAGAAGGACATGGTGCCCGGCCTCCCCATTGCCAGTGCCGTCCTGACAAAGTACAAGGGCGAAAACGATGCCAAGGCTACCCTGCGTCCTTATACCCCCATCAATGACGAGAGTACGTGAGACAGAAGTTCCCTCGCTCTTCGCCTACCAGCCCGATCCCCTGCTAACTTTGCCGTCTTCTTTTCCCTCGCCAGATGAGCCCGGCTACGTCGAGCTCCTCGTCAAGCAGTACCCCGGCGGCCCCATGAGCACCCACATCCACAACCTGCAGCCCGGCCAGACGCTCGACATCAAGGGCCCTCTGCCCAAGTACGAGTGGGCCGAGAACAAGCACGATCACATCGGCCTGATCGCCGGCGGTACCGGCATCACGCCCATGTTCCAGCTCGCGCGCGGCATCTTCCAAAACGCCAACGACAAGACCAAGGTGACGGTCGTGTTCGGCAACGTCAGCAAGGAGGACATCCTGCTCAAGAAGGAGCTCGAGGAGCTTGAGAACACGTACCCGCAGCGCTTCCGCGCCTTCTACGTCCTCGACAAGGCGCCCAAGGAGTGGCAGGGCAACACGGGATTCATCACCCAGGAGCTGCTCAAGACGGTGCTGCCGGAGCCCAAGAGCGACAACATCAAGATCTTTGTCTGCGGCCCGCCGGGTCTGATGAAGGCCATCTCTGGCGCCAAGGTCAGCCCCAAGGACCAGGGCGAGCTGTCGGGCGCCCTGCAGGAGCTGGGCTACAGCAAGGACCAGGTTTACAAGTTCTAAGCAAGACTGAGGGACTCGTTAACGTTAGAATTGTGCACTTTTTAGAATTGTAAGATTTAGATGGAAAATACACGGCATTCTGTTTAATGGTGAGGCATGCAAGATCGGTACGGCACTGCTGGCGAGATTGATCTTTAATGGTCACGTATTTACACGTCAAATCGTCCGCGCCAAGCGCAGTTGTATACAAAATTGCTCACGCACACACTAATATGCATCCACACCCCTTTTACTTCTTGGCGCGGGCCACGATAAAGTCGGCCGCGTCCTGCGCGTGCGTGTCGACCTCGGCGCTGTGCACGGCGGTGCTCGAGCCGCCCGCGCAGACGATGTCGTCGGTGTCGCAGTAGCTGGCCAGCTTGTCGGCCATGGCGTTGAGCTTGGCGATCTCGCCGGCGTTGCCGCTGCGCGAGAAGAGGCCGCCGTGCTGGCCGTGCGCGTTGGAGCCGCGGTCATACGTCTGGTTCGGCGCGAACGTCGGGTCGCCGAAGACGGTGACGGCGATGACTGTGTCCGAGCGTTAGCCTGCCCTGCTCGCCAATCCCCTCCAACATTTCCATACTCAAAACAAGGGGAATGTCCTACTGTTCTTGAGGTACTTGTCGTCGATCGGCGCGGGCTTGAGGACGCCGCCGACGAGCATATCGGTTATGACGTTGCCGCCCTGGCTGAAGCCGATGAGCGCAATCTTGCTCGCGTTGCCGCACTTGGCGACGTAGTCCTGGACCTTCTTCTTGGTGTCAGTGATGCCGTCCGAGACGGACACCGGGTACAGCACGCGGGGCTCGACGTTGCGCCCCTCCAGCTCCTCGTCGCGCTTCAGGATGGACGCCGGGTAGTCGACGGCGACGCTGGCCGAGCCGGGCACGCGCTGGGCCACCAGGGCGGCGACATTTCCGGGCTTGCCCTGGCCGACGGGCTCGCCGGAGCCGCGCGCGACGATCATGTACACCCCGGACGCGCAGCCGGCGGCGCGAGGCTGCTCGAGCGGCGCGGCGACGGCGACGGTGGTGACGGCCGCGGCGAGCAGGAAGCTACGAGCGTTGACCATGGCTGCTGACGGGAGGGGGGGGATAAGTGTATATATAGATGGGATCTATAAACCGCCGGGAAAAAGGTGCACAGAGCGAAGGAGGGGAGGAAGGACTACGAGGATAATCACCCTCGGTGGAATGAAGGCTGCTGCGTGTCCTTATACCATTGCTTCCCACCATGTCTCTCATGCACCACCAGACCACACGGAGGTCGCATTCCCAATCCCTGGCCGGTGGGGGATTGAAAAAAAGGTTGTACCAGCGCAAAACCGCTTTGTCCACCGAAGGAAGCATGTTGCCGTCCTCCTCCTCCTTTGTTCGGTTAAGAGAGGAACGGCGCCCTTGCATAAAATAGCGCCCGACGAGGTCTCTACCACCCCTCACTCAGGCTGCGAGCTTCCTTCTTACCTATTAAGTTGGATCAGCGACCCTGCACGTGGTTGTCGTGCATGAGACATTCGGCTTACGACCATGTTCGTTGCCGGGTTGCTGTGCTGACTCTGGCTGACTCGCCCCGGGTGGTCTGTCTCAAACATTGCAAGATCTTGTCTAAATTTAGCGGCGCCAGCCTGTCATGCTTTCTAATCCCCTATAGCATTTTAAAGACAGACATGCGCATGCAGTAGTGCCATGAAGCACACCATCTGTTCTCTGCTTCAGGTTGAAGAAACGGGCTGCTGATCCTTCCTTTCCACCGAGAACTATCTGCATCCGTATAGATTCCTCACTAGCATACATCACCCCCCCCTGCCCTGCCATGACCTGTTATCGACCAAAGGCCGACGGCTTATACCAGAAAAAGAAGGTCCCCCAAAACCGCCAAGCTAAGACGTGGGTTGAAACACGTCATGCGTCGCTTCAAGTATGCAAAAGGCCATACGGGTTCCCCCTTTGGTAAACCAAAAGTCGCGGCTGATCACGTCGTGGTCCCCGTCGCCGTCCAATCTGTCCGGTGGCTTGCAGTGGCTGAATCGGAGGACGAGAGGGCACCGGCGTTCGGGGCCAAGATCGAGCCGTCTTCCACTTCCCCGCCCGCTCGGTGATCGTCCACCCGCACGTGTACATGAGGTTGGGCGGGATAGGATTTTCTTCAGTGCGCGTGGGACATGGTAAATGAATCTCGGTGAGATGAATAGGATTAATGAGGATGGGAAAAATGGACCGAGATGTCTTTTCTTTAGCATGATGAGTAAAAAGAAAACAAGTCGTGGTAGTTGGCGCTCGGGCGTCCAGGGCCGGGGTATCGGCCGGAGGCGCAACGTGGTTGGCCCTTGACAATGAAACCGCCAGCCTCCGTTGACCTCGGGGACTTTCTTCAATCATGCTGGCGCGGAAGATTGACACCATAGCTGTGCCTGCCAAGTCTGCGTGAATGGTTAACGTATGTATACTGACTGGATGGCGATTCACATGGTGCACATTTCTTTGCTCACTAGCTTCATGTCATCTCAATCTGGCAAGAGCTTCTTGCGCATAAGCCTCAAGCCCTCGCATATGAAGCTCTATCTGTTGTTTCAGTGCTTGAAAAGTCGACGCTTTGTCAAGTTGCCGTTGGTCACCACATCACCGCCTTTCAGCTTGTCTACCTTGCCCGCCTGCGAGTAACGCTCCTCCGCTTGGCGAATGCGACTCAGTATACGTTGCCAAAATACCTCCGTCGTACGACATAGCTTATTATAAATAGCAGAGTCTCCTGAAAACTCGGACTACAGCTAGTCACTGAGCTGACGGAGATGCAGGGCAACGAAAATGTTCGGGCCAGGTCGTTGAGTATCGGCGCGAGATCTCTAGTAGCGTGCGCACACTATTGTTCATGCTCAGCTATAGCACAAACAGTGGGATTTCAGTCATGTACAGCTTGTGCACAGCATCTTATCAAGGGCTCCGTATCTGTCAAAGTCGATTCTACATTAAGAGACATGTGCAGGGCTCTTTGTCAACTCCAATGTAATGTGGATGTTGACCTGGAACACAAACGTTCACCATACTCCTCATATCTGAGTCAAACAAAGCAGTCTGGTCTACAGAATGAATTTAAAAATACAATTATTGATCATTGTAGAGAGAAAAAAGAGGGAAAGTACAAAAAAAAACAAGAGCGTGTGTGCTATGTGATGAAAAGAAGACCAACCCGACCAGCGAACTAGATAAGTAAAATAACAAGGACCAAAGCGCTAAACACATTCGCATACTTTGGGCAACGAGATACATCAAACCACGTTTCTCATGCCAATTATAACTAGGAGAAGCTGACAAACTTTGGGTCTCTGGGCCGGCCGTCCGGACCGATGCCATTGGCCTTGAACCTGCTCTCCATATAGACCTTCCTGGCCCTGTCAAAGTTTAACCGGCGCTTCTTCATAATCTTGAGAATCTCCGCCTTACTGGCATCGTCCAGGCCGGCGCGGCTGTCGCCCGCCTCCACGTTGCCGCTGAGGTCAAATGTGCTGCTGGACAGGCCGGCCTCGATGTCGCCGGCAAACGTCGAGGGCAGTCGCGAGTAGAGGTAGTCGGCCGAAGGTAGGTGGGCGCTGACGTCCGGCAAGAGGTGCAGCCAGTAGGATCGCGTAAAGAATAAGACGGTGGCGATGACGATGAATAAGACAGATACGCTGAAGAGGATGAGCATGGCTGAGAGCGGGTCGCCAGCACTATGCGGGCTCTCAAGTGGCGGGGTAGCGATTATATATTGATGAAAAGGAACGGTCTTGTGGTATCGAGAAAGGAATGACGTGCGGCGCGATGAAGCCGGGATCGTGGTTGTCAAAGATGGTGATGCGGAAAGCTCGGAAGCAGTCGTGGCCGTCGTCGGGGCGTTTGCTTCAATGTGATTTACTGCAAGAAAGGCATGTCAGGCAGAGACGGCTCGTATCATGTAGTAGCCTCCCAGATGATGCGCTTCTGTTACGCACAACTGACGACCGCGTCGATGCAGAGGGATGAAGATGTTCTTTGCCAAGCGCGGCCAGACGAGGAGGCCTCGGGTTACTGTCTCAAACCGTTTCTGGCTGACGTGCACCAGCTTGCTGCGCCATCTAGCTGGAGCCCCATTTGTCCCTGCCAGTCCAAGCGGCGGGCCACGCCCCGTTAAACCGGTAGCACCCACCTATCCTTGATATGCATCTGTCCGGTAGAAGCTGCAGAGACGGCAAGTAAGGGCGCTAACCGCTACTAGGCAGTTAAGCGAGCCCACACATTGCGCTTTTGCTGATGCGATCAAGGACCTACCTTTGGCCTCGTTTCTCTGATAGTAGTCGTTTGATAACCGTCTAAATCGTCAATTCCGCCGAAATGTCTGCTCCCGCGCTGAACAACGTGTCTTCGGACCTCATCTGGGCTATTGTCCGTACGTTTTGATCCCATTTTCCGAACGAACGCTTTGCATTTGTGGCGAATCCCCGCCAACCAATCTTTTCGACACAATCAACGAGCGAAGTGCTAGGAGGCTTGACGTTAATTCTTGAATAGGTGACAACCACTGCTTCCTCTCCAAGAGCCGTCGCAATGGTGGTGCTCAGTTCTCCTCTGACCCCCTCAACCTGACCAACAAGAACACCCGCAAGGTTCGCATTCCCGAAGGAGAATGATGTAGAAATTTTGACTGTTTAGCTAACTCGAGCGCACAGCATGCTGGTTTCGTCAACGACAAGGTACTAGGAGCCTGCCACGTACACGATTGCGAAATACGAACAGGGGATGCTAAACTACAGTTCTCTAGGCCATCGGTGTTATCCCGGGCGAGAAGGGCGGTGTTACCATCCTGAGCAAGACCATCAAGAACTCTACCAAGCCCGCCAAGGCTTTCTCCCAGACCAAGATCTCTGGCGCCAAGTCCACCCGCAAGTAAGTGACAGAATCGGGCTTCTTAGAACGCAAGCAGCAACGAGCGACAATGCGCGCGCGCGGACAACTATATTGCAGCAGGCCGTGCTGACATACATTTTTGCGCCGACCAGGATCTACAAGGCCGTTGCCAACCAGACCACCAAGTCCGGCTACCGCGCTGACCTCCGCCAGCACGCCGTCGAGCGTGTCTCCGCCATCCGCCGCACCCAGCGCCCCGTCAAGGAGGCCGCCGAGCCCAAGCTCCGCGGCAAGAAGGCCCAGAAGGCTGCCGAGTCCTCGTAAACGATTCCATATACAGGAGCGTTTGACATTGGTCGGTAGTTTGTGAGGAGACGACAAAAATAAAACTTCCCTGGAGAATGGAATTCATGCATCTGATTGATATCGCGATAGCGTCGGCGAAACCAAACAAAGCGGTTGCTGGCTAGCTCGCGTCACACTGTCGATGCGATGCGGATGAGGAGAATCGGAGGTGGTTCCCTTTGTCATTGGCTGGAGTTGGCATTTGATATGAACTGTTTCTCTAGCTGAAATACACTCGGCGCCGTGAGGGCCAAACCTTGAAATGATGTACTGAGCAACTTTGCGTGACTCTTGTGTGCCACAACTTCCCACACGGGGAGGGCAGCGTGATGGCGGACGATTAGGATGGCTTTCGCGACGTTGAAAATTGCGAAGCTGGGTCTGTGTCTTTGGTCCGGGCAGCGAACGGTCGGCGATGCCAATACTGATTCATACATTGCGATGTATAAGTTGGGCTGCATATTGCTGGCTGGGCGAGCTGAGCCATTTTTACCGTAGAAGATCCCCGCTGTTGCTTTGCTCGCAATGAAGATCAGACGCTACAATGACGACATTAGGCAGTTGCGGAAACCAAAACAACTGCAGCCAGCCTTCGTCGATAATCATCCGGAAGCTGTTTACTGGGCTGGTCCCGAGAAGCACGGCCATCGTGTGGTTGCGGGGACCTCGGGAGGTGGTGGGATGCAGCCGTTGGGGACCCATCACAAGCTTTGTATTGCCGGCGCGCGTGGCGTCAAGACCAATGGAAGCAACTTCGGGACAATACGGGGGGGGACGGGCGTGCAGCAACCGGGAAAGTTTAGATTTCTGAAATTTGGCTATAATTGGCATGCGCAGTACTAGACTTTGGCGTACCGGTGAACTAGAAGGGTGTTTTGCGTACATGGAATTGGGGCGGTTCCTGGTCCCAGCTGTAGAGGTAGAGGACGGCAGCACCGTTTGCTTCAGCCAAGCACAAGTTTAGCATTTTGACACATGCATGAAATGCGGCAGCTAAAAACAGAACTGCAATTTTTCAGACAGATTCCATTGATGGGCTTATTAAGGTGCCAAGTAAGGCTATAACGTCTCTCTGTGGACAGCTTACAAGGGTAGAGGGGCTCAGCGTCATGGCGACCGTAATAACAAGTCGCAGACAGCTGGTCTGCCCCTCCTTCCTCCCTCCTCGCCCCTCTCTCCGGCCACGGCACACCACCCCTCCTCCAATCGCCTACGCCTGGTTTCACAAGCTCTCTTTATCGCCCCAGCGCCGGCTAGATTTCTTAACCTTCTTCCATCCTCACCACCAACCTTGCTTCCTTCTTCCTCCATCCCATCGTCTTTTTGGATTTGCCCTCTCAAGTCCCCCATACATCCTTCCTTTGAGCTCCAGGATATCTCTGGTGCCCACTTCATCAACTACCTCTTCTCTTAACTTCCTTTACCTTTCACAATGGTCAAAGCTGGTGAGTCTGCCCAGAGGAAACCCCGCATCGGTCCTGTCTCGGCATTTTCTCCTAGAAGCTGCTTTCCAGTATTGAGCAGCTCTTTTTTTGTGATTTTCTGGCTGCTGGATGCTAATGTCTCGTTTGCGCAGTTGTTGCTGGTGCCTCTGGCGGCATTGGTCAGGTAAGAACTGAATTTACGCGCCTCGGCCGTCCACCCGGGCTCGCATAGCTGCTGACACGCCTTCTCTCCTAGCCTCTTTCTCTCCTCCTTAAGACCAGCCCTCTCATTGATGAGCTCGCCCTCTACGATGTTGTCAACACCCCCGGTGTTGCTGCCGACCTTTCCCACATCTCTTCCCAGGCTGTAAGCCGAAGCCGACCCGCTCTCGGACTGTCAGCCGTCCGTACTAATCACATGCAACGAACAGAAGCTCACTGGCTACCTGCCCGCCAACGATGGCGCAAAGGCCGCCTTCAAGGATGCTGACATTATCGTCATTCCTGCTGGCATTCCCCGTGAGTACTCGGATCCAATGCGCTCCGTCAACACCAAAAAGCCAAGAACTGCACTAACAACTTCTAGGCAAGCCTGGTATGACTCGTGATGACCTCTTCAACATCAATGCTGGCATTGTCAAGGGTCTCATCGAGGTCGCCGCCGAGGTTGCCCCCAAGGCCTTCATTCTCGTCATTTCCAACCCCGTCAACTCGACCGTCCCCATCTCGGCCGAGGTCCTCAAGGCCAAGGGTGTCTTCAACCCTCAGCGCCTCTTTGGTGTCACCACTCTCGACATTGTCCGTGCCGAGACCTTTGTTGCCGAGATTGTTGGCGAGAAGCAGCCCCAGAAGCTGACCATCCCCGTCATTGGTGGCCACTCTGGCGAGACCATTGTTCCCCTCTTCAGCAAGGCTTCTCCTTCCGTCAACATCCCTACTGACAAGTACGACGCTCTTGTCAACCGCGTCCAGTTCGGTGGCGATGAGGTCGTCAAGGCCAAGGACGGCGCTGGCTCTGCCACTCTCTCCATGGCTTACGCCGGTTTCCGGTACGTTGTCATCAGCATCGCACCACTTGCACTTACTAACCCTCCTGCCTAGCTTCGCTGAAAAGGTCCTTAGAGCCGTCAAGGGTGACAAGGGTCTCGTTGAGCCTAGCTACGTCTACCTCCCCGGTGTCCCCGGTGGTGATGCTGTTGCCAAGGCCACTGGCTGCGACTTCTTCTCGGTCCCCATCGAGCTCGGCGTAAGATGATTCGGCCCAGCTTGAGTTTCTTTCCATGCTGACTTTTTATAGCCTAACGGTGCTGAGAAGGCCACCAACCCTCTGGAGGGTATTACCGATAAGGAGAAGGCTCTGCTGGCAAAGGCCGTTGAGGGTCTCAAGGACAACATTGCCAAGGGTGTTCAGTTTGCCCACAACCCTCCCCAAAAGTAAATCGGCCCTTTCTTTTCCATCTCACCAGTAAGAGCACAACGCGTTTCCGGATCAAGACCGGACAAGAGGGAAGCCAGTGGCTTGTCTTGATGCATAGTGGTGGTGAAACGATGCGTAATATATGATTTATACGGCCAGGAATACTGATTATTTGCTCTCTCTTTGTTAGGCTGTAAGACGTGTTTGTTTTAGGTCTTGCCAATAGGCTAGTCCAAATCCCGAGTCTTCTTCCAGCATCCCTGCCTACGACCAGGCTTGTGTGGCGTTTTGAGCAACAAAGTGCACAGCCTGGGAGCGGAACCGAAAACGGCGCGGATCTGATTGGATGTGAATGGGAATAGTGGCCGTATGGAGATTCTCGCTTTTGTCGTGGGGTTGGTTGGCTGGTCCGTCATATATATATACATTGCCGTTTGTGGCCATTATGAAGCTTTTCTCTAGCAAAACTGAAACCAAAAAAAAGAATTGAAAAAAGAAAGGAATGTCCAGGATTTGTGTTCGCCGTCTATGTCACGTCTTAACGGGCAGCGTCTTGATTTGAAATACCGCGCCGGGCAGCTCGTTAATTTCTGCCTGCACCGAGGCGTTGATTCCGAGAGCGGCCAGCGCCCCCCGGACGATGCCGCACGGGAACCACAGGAACGGCTGCGCCCGAACCACAGCCTGGCCACCCGCCACGGTGCTCATGCGCGAAAAGGGACGGAAGACATTGTCCGTCAATACGTAAACGCCCTGTGTCATTATTAGCACATGCCACGACAAAGCAGAAAACATTGGAGTGGCCCTGCACTAAGCAGGAGCCGTGCTTCTTACCCTGTGGTTGGTCTTGAGGTTGTCTATGTTCTTGCCAAACACCAATGACCAGAGATCCTTGCATAGGAACTTGATGACGTCGAGGGTGTCGTTTAATCTGGGGCGATCGCGAGAGAATCTGCGTTTGGCGGCTTGTCAGCATTTTGATCCCGAACCATGCAATTCTTGTCTTGCCCTCGCCAACTTCCCCCGCTCCCGGCCTCTCGAGAAGAGACATGGAGCGGCAGCAGCCCTCTGAGAGAAGCAGCGTCTTGTGGGAAGTTTCTGTAGAATTCTTCCGCCATTCCACTCGCTCCCCTTGCGGAAGAGACTCAACCCCCTCCTCGCACGTACCTTTCCACAAGACCCTGGCCGACGCGGTACCCCAGCGTCTCCAGGCGATAATGCACCGCATCCAGCTCCTCGTCGTCCTCGTCGTCCAAGCGCCTCCCGGAGTTCCCTCCCAGCGCCGCCGCCGCCGCCACCGTTGATCCCGCTCTCCGCTCGCTGCCCGTCTGCTTCTGCTGTTCCTCGTCCGCGCTCTCCTCCCCGTCGGCGTCGTCGCCCTTGTTGCCGTCGCGCTCCTGCGTCACGCGGTACGCGAGCGGCACGAGCTCGATGAGTAAAAAGTCGAGGCACGAGGAGCTGAGGAAGTTGGCGCTCGGGTCGGAGGCGTTGTAGGGGGGCATCACCGGGTCGAGAGACATGGTCGGGGAGCGGGCCGCGGGCGCGCGCGATGCCGGGTTTTCGGTTGAAAAAGGAGGTAGTTGGGGGGAAATCGATGGGGAGAAGGACAGCAAAGGTGGTTTGATCAAATGGCAAAGGCACGGTTGTCAGTCGGGGCCAAGGTTGCGGTAGCTGCGGAAGTTGTCTGCGAAGTCGTTTGAATGCGATGGTGAGCTCTCCAAGTCTTGTCCAAGCTTCCTGGCCTAGGCCTTTAGGTGCCTGGCTTGTTAGCAACCCCGTACCCGGTACCTACTAATCCACTGTACTTGTTTATCGGTCAGTGGGAGGTACTGGCTACCTACTGTACCTATGTACATAGCTAAGAATATGCGGGGCACCCATGGCGACCGCAGCGACTTGTCACTGGCCGTTGGCATGGTAGGCCAGGCCATCATCACTTCGCCGTGCAGCGAAGCTCACACACATATACACATAATGTGCCGAATTAAGGCCAAAGGGCATGCGATCTTGTGCTAGACAGATAAACTAGGTATAAAGTCGACATTATCATTGCTGTACCCCCCTTCCCTTCTGCTGCCTTAGTTCCAAGTTTCTGGTGAAGAAAAATAGAACCATATGCTGTCCCATACGCCATGAACATGATTGAAATATGATACAATGTCTACCTCACTGAAGAAGACAGTACTACAATGGTGGAATACCGGGCGAGGCAATGTGCGGAAAGGACAAGCCGCTTGGTCCATGGTAGCCATTCCCCACCGTGCTCTGCCTTTTAAACGGTCGCTGGATTGGCTCGTCCTCCTCGTCGGACGATAGTGTCAGGTCAATGACCACTGGCGCCGGGCGTTTCGTGCCTCCTCCATTCTGTCGAGACGGTGTACTTGGAGCAGGCAGCGTATCTGCGGGTCGGGCCGGGATGGTGCTGAGCTCCGAGATTTCAATGGCGTCGTCATCGTCATCGAAGAATGCTTCTGACGGAAAGTTGTTGGCCTCTTGCTCTTCGTCTCTGAGAAGCCATCGCCCGTTAGGTTCAATGGTCACCCCTTCGAGACTGTTCGGTGTGTTGTTCAGGATATCCTGGACATAGCTAACTCTGCTGTCAGTAACAATGGGGCGATAGGCAGCCTTTCGGTCACCTACTCGTCGACGGCCAATTGATCGTATGGCGCTGGCTTGTTGCATATCGGGCAGAGCCATTGCGGGCCTTGCTCTTGCAGCTGCAGGTATGATGTCACATCGAAGCACTGGATGTGGGAGCAGCTCATGCCACGACAGGGTACATCAAGTCTCATGTACGATAACGGACACTTCAACGACAAAACTGATGAGGTTGCCACCACATCGGGATCATCGGCCTTCTGGTTCACTGCAAAGTTGTTAGCATACATAGCATACGGCATCTGAGTCGAAGAACGTACGCTCTGCAATCACAGAGTTTTTTGGGATGTGTCTCCTCGTGGATATGCCTCGCGCCAAGTCCGCGACGGAGTGCACTTGGCAAATGTTCGCTAATAGGTAGAATTTCTAAACCAGTTAGCAACGTGAGCGACGATCAAATGCCAAGAACTCTCACCTTCGTCGTTAAAGCGTATGTAAACTCTATAATGTTCAGGTAGGTGAGCGGCTTTAGCCTCAACGCATTTGTAATGTCAACCGGTCTAGTAGACCCTGGTTTGTTCTTTAACCCGCGTAGGTTGGCCTTCACCTCAGTTCCGTTAACCTTAATTTCGGACTGGTGGGGGAATGCAATATCCTGTGTACCGACTGCCTCTCCTGCACAAAAGAGCAGAACCCTGTATGAAGAGTCGGCAAGGCATTGCTGCAGCTCGGGCCACTGGTTTGTGCTAAGGTGAAGCGATATTGTATTTCTATGTTGGGCCATAGCTAGAGCGTCGTTAGTCACTTCCATGAACTCTAGCTATGTGTTCTGATAAGGTACCAACCTTCGCATATGCGAACTTCACCGACGGTAGACTGGACCACATAAAACGGGCTGGTCTTGAATGCAAGAGCCGGGGTGGCCAGAATATTATTCCGTAAGCCACCGAAGCCTTGCCCCATGCCAGGAACGCTACTGCCATACACTGGCGGCGTAAAATGAATGTTCTGAGAAGAGGAAGAGATAATTCGGGACTTTATGGGGGTTGTGACGGTAGCCGCGGCCGTGGCAGTCCCATTTCGCTGGGCGTATGCGTTTGCTACGCTCTGTTTCACCTGGGCGAAGCGAGAGGGATCAACTGCTGATTCGGAGATGACTGACAGATAAAAAATACGTTAGGACTTTGAAACACAAATGATATCTAGCTGGTAGCAAAGACTCACGGGTGATGATGCGTCGTTGCAGGTCTGCCTTGACGCCAGTGCTTTTAAGACCGTTGACTTGGCAGATAGACGACAGCTGACGGTTGAACAACTGATTGCTCTGCACCTCACGAATCAGAGATAGCATCTCGTGCTTCGGCACGCCCCCTGACGACGCCATGGCTGCACGAGACTATGACGGAGCGCCAGGCCAGACAGGCACAAGCCCGACTTTGCAAGGCAGAGAGCGTCGCAGTATGGAAGTCGTTATCGTTTCCGCGGGGCGTGCTAGGTGAGGAAGGCTCTCGCCGAGTTATCCACGGGCGTCGAATAGCGCCGGCCGCTGAAATTCAGAGTTATTCGGCGAAGAAGACCTCGGGGTTGGTGGGCGCCAATGCGATTCGCTCGCGCGCGTGTTCGGAAGTGTCGAGGAAGTGAACGGCACCTGGCGCAAGTGAAAGTGAGGGACGCCGAGGGGCGGGACGGGACTGCAAGTAAACGAAGTGAGTGCGTGGTGGAGTTACCACAGTACTTGGGAAATTACTGTACTGGCGTTGACGATGGCAGGTTTGAAGCGTAGGAAAAGGTTTGGATATGCTATTGCGGAATTACCAGTGTTGCACACTCGAATTCACCAGGTGTGGCTGCCCGCCATTGCAGTGGCAAAGCTGGCCAGACCGCACTAGCCACAGTTCAGATTCGCAACCAACGCCACATCTTCTTATCGACAGTGGATTGCCCCTCTGTAAAAGTTGCTATCAGGGTTTTTTTTTTCGACTACCAGAGGCTGGAAGCCATTGATGAACGGAATAGCGGCTGCACTTCTTCCACTCGTCAGACACGCCAAGCAGACAAACCAATACAATGGCGAAGAGTTCTCGTTCAAGCACTCGCAAAGAGAATAACAGGCGCCTGGCAGCCACTGTCTTCGGGCCTGCCGAGACAGCTCGCGCGGAGCGCCTGTCGGCCAAGTTGCTAGAACTGGCCAAGCAGCCCAAGCCCGAGACGTCCGATGCCAACATGGAGGGTAAGCTCGAAAAGTCTACAAAGACACGATTTGAAGCGATAGCTAATTCGAATTACCTATAGAGGCCGCCGACGTTGTCGAGGATGAGGCGGCGGATGCAGGTGACGCCACAGGTATGGTGCCAGTCATACAAGCGCATTGCACGAAATCAAGCAAGCAAGCAAGCCAGCTAACAGACTCCTGCCTAGCCATGGATGTAGACACGAAGCGCACAGCATCGAAGCGTGTTGGCCGGAAGCGAATCGACAAGCGCAAGACGAAGAAGGCCTCAATCGTGTTCCCCAAGTACAGCGACAGAATCAAGGCCAAGAAGAACAAGAAGAAGGCGTAAACTGGCAGGCTGGAGTTTGATTAAGGCATTTGATTTCTTGTTGTTTGGGTTTGGTTTTCATATTTTGAGCTCTGGTTTCTGCATAGAGTCGACCGCTGACGCATTCTTTCTCGCCCCAAAGACGGCTTCATCATCATCTACGAACGCAATGTATTTAAGCAGATATCCACAACAAACTAAGTGGAATAATGACGAAAAAAAAAATGTTATAATAGTCTTGGTGATAACTGATCCGTTACGATGGTTGTGCAATATTGGTTTTCGCATTAATAATGGATGAAACTGTCCTCATCTAGCACTGGTTCCTTGCGAACCTTTGTGGAGGCGCGGCTGCAGCTAGCGTCGTGACAGCCATCCCTGGATATTGGAGTCGTCGCATCGGAGAGCAACAGCTTCCCGTCTCCATCCCTAGAACAATAATAACTAAAGCCCAGTGGCCGTATTTGCCCCTGTACGGCTTCAGGTCGCCCACGATCCGCATTGTACTACACAAGTTCGTTCTACTACAATGTGTGAAAACTTCTAGTCCCTCCTTTACAAACACCACGCGCACCGAACCATCCATCCATCAGCTCCTTACACGTCGCGCGCTTCCCATCATGGGCCCAACGGCTGTCAACTCAGCAGGGCGACCATTAACCACCCTGCTGCTCACCATCGCCAATCTTCTGATTCCGGTATCTATTCTCATATTCGCCACCGGATTCTTCCCATACAAGCCGTTTCTGCCCGGCTTGGCTGAGTTTGAAGTCCTCGAGTCTGGGCCGCCCCCTCCGGCGCCGTTTGACAAGCTTGTCTTTGTGGTGATAGATGCCCTTCGAAGGTAATACAGATGCATCCACTGGGCCTGATTCTTTTCGCATGTACTGATACATTTGAGCAGCGATTTTGTGTATGCCCATGGTTCTGGTTTCGAATACACGCAAAGGTCAGTGACCGTCGTATTCAAAATAGCATCCTTGCTTACATCCACAGCCTTATTCGCGATGGCGCAGCCATTCCCTTCACGGCCTACGCTCGCTCGCCAACAGTGACGATGCCCAGATTGAAAGCCATCACTACCGGCTCAATCCCGTCTTTTGTAGACCTCATTCTCAACATCGATGAAGGGGACAAATCCTCGGCCCTCGCCGCACAGGACACCTGGTTGGCACAGCTCAAGGCAAAGGACACGGGAAAGCTGCTCATGTACGGCGACGATACGTGGTTGAAGCTTTTTCCCGACTTTTTTGATCGCCATGATGGAACATCCAGCTTCTTTGTTACTGTAAGTCGTACTTGTGCTCCGGCCACAACAGTCGGCTTACAACTAGCAGGACTTTACAGAAGTCGACAACAATGTGACTCGCCATATTAACGGCGAGCTGCAAAATGAGGACTGGTCGCTCATGGTACTTCATTATCTTGGACTCGATCATATCGGTCATAAGTCCGGGCCCAGGAGGTAAGAGAGACTGCTTGATTACTTCCAATCCCCTCATTGCTAATTCTTCAGTTCCAATATGTTTCCCAAGCAACAAGAGATGGACTCCATCGTTCGCACAATCTACGACTCCATATCATCCAAGAAGCACTTGGAGTCGACACTGCTGGTAGTCTGCGGCGACCACGGAATGAACGACGCCGGAAACCATGGAGCATCATCCCCCGGCGAAACCTCCCCTGCCCTGCTCTTCCTATCCCCCAAGCTCAAAGGCGTCGCACCAGCCACCTACGAGTCCCCTGCACTCCCCGGGGACGAGTTCGACTTTTACTCCCAGGTCGAGCAGTCGGACATCGTGCCGACCGTCGCGGCTCTCCTCGGCTTCCCCGTGTCTAAGAACAACCTGGGCGCCTTCATCCCCGAGTTTCTCCCATTCTGGCCGCGGCCCCGTGATAAGATTCAGATTCTCGTCCGCAACGCCCGTCAGATTCTCAACACCGTCACCGCCGCTTTTGGGCCGGAGCTCTTCGACGTGGCGTCGACGGAGGATCCCTGCCAGCTGGAGCCTACGGACATCAACGAGCTTGCGTGCGACTGGCGATGGATCACCCAGCGGGCGCAGAGCCTCAATGCTGATGATGCAATTGACCAGGAGTGGTTGACGGCTACGTCCCGGTGGATACGCAAGGCGCAGGAACTGATGAGCAGCATGGCGTCCAACTACGATATGCCGCGTCTCTACGCCGGGCTTGGACTCGGCATAGCAGCCGTCATCGCCGCGATGGTGGCGGCCTCCAAAGGGGATTTACTCTGGTCTCCAACAGCACGGCCACTCTTGCTCATCTCCTTCTCGTACGGCGCCATGATGTTTGCGAGCAGTTACGTTGAGGAAGAGCACCACTTCTGGTACTGGACTGTCACCCTCTGGCTGACATTCCTCGGAATCAAGGCCATCCGACGGTACGCTGCACACCCCCCCCCCCCCCAAAAACCTAAACAGCTCCGGCAAGTTCTCATCCTCCGGCGGGTACCTCGTCGCGCTCCTCGCCGTCCGCATCACGCGGAGCTGGAACCAGACGGGCCAAAAGTTCGCCGGTGAGCCTGACATCGTCAAGCTCTTCGTGCACCGGTACCCCGCGGCCCTGTGGATCGCCGTCATCGCCATGTACGGCGTCACCTGGGCTCAGATGCTGCCGAGCCTCGAGGGCATCCCTTTCATCGCCGCCACGTCTGTCACCTCGGTCCTCATCTCCTCCGCGTTCACGTTCAAGCTGGCCTTTACCACCGCCGACGCGCCCGAGCTCGTCGTCGGATTCACCAGGACGCTCCACGACAAGTTTGAGGGCCAGTCGCTGCTCTGGCGCGCTCGCATCGTCTTCCTCGTCCTTGGTCTGCTTGCCAGCTTTGCGATTGTTCGTGGTGTCTCCGGCCGTAGACGACAACCAAGAGCAGCCTGTAAGTGTTTCTTTTTTTTTCATGTATTCCCACCCGATGGATAAGACTTCTCTTGGCTGACTTCCCGCCCGTCTCCTAGCACGTGTTTTGCACGAGCTCTTAACTCTCTTCGTCATGACCCAGTCCCGCGCCGCCAACATACCCATCTTCCTCCTGGCGCACATCATCTACTGCGCCATCGACGCCCGCCAGATGACGCTGGCCGAGATCACGACGTCCTCCATCCTTCTCCAGTACGTCAGCTTCTTCGCCGCCGGCGGGTCCAACGCCATCTCCTCCGTCGACGTCTCCAGCGCGTACAACGGCGTCGCCGACTTCAACGTCGCCGCCGTGGGCGTCCTCACCTTTGTCGGCAACTGGGCCGGCCCCATCTACTGGGCCTCGGCTGCCACCGCCCTCCTCCTGGACAAGCACCACGCCGGCGGCGAGCGCGGCGTCTTCCGCCAGCACGTGGCGCTGCTGGCCGTCTTCGCCACGGCGTCTGCGGCGTTCGTCATGGCGGCGTGCATCGCCATGCGCACGCACCTCTTCATCTGGACTGTCTTCTCGCCGAAATACCTGTACGCCATGGCCTGGAACATTGCGCAGCATCTCGTGGTCAACATTGGATTAAGTGGCGCTCTTTTCTGGCTCGGCACTCGCAAAGCGCAGTAGTCAATTGGAGAAAATGTAAAAGTACTTCGATTCGGTTTCGACTGAATAATTAGACGACTTCCTCAACAATGGCGGTCTGTGCCTGGAATAGTAACGTAATAGATATGGACTGGCCTATCGTCCCGAATAAAAGATGAAAATAATTAGATACGCGCAGCCCCCAGGACTCTTGATATATACCCATACAGCCAATAAGCACCAGGTCTCATAACGCTTCATACAAAATATCGTAGAGAATCAATAGAAAAAAAGGACCGATGTCAGAAGCCTCACTACTCTTCCATCTCATCGTCAGAGGCTGGAGCATGGGACAGTGTGATTCGGCTGGTCTTTGCAATGACTGTGTCGTCGCTATCCTCATCCTCCTCCTTGATGACGGGCTCTTCCGAGGCGGCCTTGCCGTCAGAAGGTTGCTGCTCCGATAGAACCGAGGCACTACGGCTGTTGCGCTGGGGCTGCTGCTCATCAAGCGCATTAACAATCTTACCCAGGCTGACGTGGATCTTGTACAGTGCGTTCTTGCTAGGCGCGTCCGTCACAACACCCTCTTCAACAGCAATGCAGACTTCCTCGTACGTCTCTCGAAGCTTGTCCTCAGAGGACCCGGACGAGATACACAGCTTGCCGAGGAGGCCAGCGACGAGTTTCTTTTCTTCCTCTATTCACGTGGTTAGGGTTTGATGCATGCTTTAGTACTTCATGTACACTTACTGGTGACATTGCTGTGCAATCTGTCCACGATATCAAGAGCCAGCTCCAGGTGAACGTCGCCATTGATGCTCTTCTTCTCTGTCTCAAGAAGACTGGTAGGGCTGTAGACTTTGCGTGGGTCTGTCCAGTCAACGAGGCAAGCACCAATGGCCGGCATACTGACCATGTCTTCTTCAACATCAGCCTCATCATCGTTCTCGAGGCCCTCACGCACGTTGAGCAGAGTGTGAAGGGCGGGAAGGGCAATGCTGCGCATCAGCTCTTGGTTGGTCGCTCTGGAGTAGCAAAATACGGGCAAGAAATAGTTGAGAGCCTGGCGCACTGTCTGGTTTCCAGCCGAATTCGGGTCAAAGTAGGCGACGACTAGCGATTTGAGGAGTTCCTGGCATGCCTCTTCATCGCTAACCACGCGACCGAGAAGAAGCTTGGAAACTGCCATCACGGCAGCGGCTTGCACTTCTGGTGCCCTAGAACCACTCTTCACAGCCTTGACATAAACCTTCAGGAGCGCCGGCGTGGATGAGAACAAATGCGCGCCGTGAACGTTGAGAATATCCGTAAGAATGTGCAACGAGGTCACTTGGAGCGCTGCGTGTCCCTTGCTAAAGAAATGAATGAACAGACTCAAGTTCTCCTCTGCCAACGAGCGGTCCTGCAACGCACAGAGGCCCAAACAAACCAGGCCGCGTTCACGAACAGGTGCCTCGTGGCTTCGCACCGCCGGAACGACCAAGTTGTTAAGCATGGCGACCAGGTCAGTATTATCTTTGAGATTGCCCGAAATGTGGCTAAGCATGCATTGAACAATGTGCAGACACTTCATGTTGATGACGATTTCCTTAACCGCCTTGGCACGAGCATCTTCTTCACTCAGCTCCTTGCCACGTCCCTTGCTGCCAGATGATGCGCTCACGCTACTGACCTCGGACCGTGCAGAATGGAAGCTATCATCGACATCATCAACGGGAAGGTCATCCACAATCGTGTCGTGCACATCAGCAACCGATTCGAGAACAATACTGCAGAACTCGCGCTCTCCGGCAGCATCAGGGGAGCAGATGTAGTGTAGAGTCTCGGTAGTGAGCTTGGTTACCTCGTCGGGTAGCTCGGGGATGGACAAGGCTTGGCGGAGCAGGGTGAACATCTTACGTCGGCCTACTTCATCAGAGTAGTCAAGACTCAGCGCGATGTGAAGCAGCTGTTCAGCAATGAACTCTTGCTCCACAATTGCGGTCTCGTCCTCTTCTTCAGCCTCGTCTTGCTCTACTCGGCGTAGTGTCTCTATCAGCGCATTTAGATAACGCTCGAGGAAGTAGGCGACCTTGGTGACTTCGGGAAGCTTCTCTTCGACCAGTGATTCGAATTTGCCGTTACCTTCCTTTCGGCAAAAGTCATTGAAGCTGCGAGCAAGGAATGCGGACTCGGCGGTGAGGGTTTCCCAGAACGCGTCGTCAAAGTTGATGGCTTGGCGGTAATCAGGTCGACCTTCCCAGAAGCCAGACATTGCTTCAAGCGCGACGCCGTTCTCAACTCCAGAGTTGATCACATCAACTCGCTCGAGGAGCTCGAGCAACCCATCAAAGCTGGGGACTGGGTTCTCTTGCTGAGCGGTTCCTGCACAGTCTTCAATCCAGCGGTCTCTAAAGAGTCTTCCAGCAGCTTTGCGAACATTTTCGTCTCTATCCCGAAGACCCCAACGCAAAAGCTTTTCTCGCATAGAGAGAGACAAATGGCGGAAATCGCCGAGTGCAGGAAGCAAGCGCGAGTAGACAGCTCTACGCGTTGCAGCATCTTGATCCCTGGCACGCTCAAGTAGGTAAGGAAGAGTATTGGGAAGAATTGGAAGATTGACCAGTAGCGAGCGGCGGACATCGGCGCTCGGATCGTTTTGCAGCACCTGAAGAAGCTTCTCCAGCAAGCCAGACTCCTGGTCTGCATCACTGTCGTCTGAGTTTGTAAGGCCATCAGACTGGTTGCCGGCGAGGCGGCCAAGCCCAAGAACTGCCTGGACACGCACCATAGCCTCTTTGTCGCGAATTTTCTTCAAAAGCGCGTGGCGGAGTGATTGGAACAGGCTATCGTCAAGGGCATCCAGAGAGTTGACAATCTGAGACAAGAGCTGCGTTGATCGGTAGCGAACAAACTTGTCTTTTGCCAGCAAGAGAGGAGAAACAGCCTCCACCAACTCCGAGATCAACCGTGCGCTTGGCGTCTCTGGCATATGGCTGGCGTCATCGACCATGTCGCCCAAAAGTTCGTTGTCTTTTTCGTTGGAATGTCGCAGGTAGAAACCGATGAAGCGAATGGATTTCTCTCCCACGCCCTCAGTCTTCTTGACCGGCATGATCTTGAGAGCACAGCGAATGAACTCGGTATTGAAGGCCTTCTCGTCAAAGTCGCTATCGGTAGTTGTCTTTTGGTCGGGTGTCTCGTAGCAGCATGCCTCGTGGATCTTTCGTAGGGTTACAGCCAGTTTTCGATGTGTCGCAGTGTTGCGCTGGGCATCGCGGAATATTGGGCTAATCTTCAGCCTCAGATCATTATCCGGGGTGTCGACAAACTCGGCGGCGGGGGCGGGCGAGGCGCGGGAGATGGAGGGGACTCTCCCGCCCAACGCCGAGTTTGAGCGTTTGCGGCCCCCGGCTGAGGAAGGCCGGGCGGAGGAAGGCCGGGCGGAGCGTGTCGTTGACGCTCTTGAAGGCATTTCGTATGTGTATAAGTACGAATAGGCCTGTGTATCAGTACAAGGTCTAGTGGTGATGCACAATGTAAAATAGGCCCATCCACATGCGACCGTTTGTTTGGATGCGTGGCGCGTGTTGACGACTAAGTCAACAGTGTTCCCTTTCTGGGATAGTGGCAATGCTCTTAATGGAATTGTCCCTCCATCACGTGCGATAAGATATGCCATTTTGGGGTGCATAGTGGGGCCCATAACTTTTTTTTTGGTCGGCCGCCAATTCAAGTTGTATACAGCGAGAAGTAGAGGCAGAGAATTCATTGCTGCGCCGTGCTCAACAACTTTGACAGAATGAGCGTCGCCGAAGACAGCAAGAAGAGGCTTCGGCCTGAAATCGAGGAGGCGCTGGCAGCGTTGCCCGAATCTGAGACTGTTGCCGGCCCCTCACCCAAGAAGGCCAGGACGGAAGAGCGCAAATCACTTTTCGTTCGATCGCTACCTCCAAACGCGACGAGTGAGAGCCTTGCGGAGTTTTTCTCCGAATATTTCCCCGTCAAGCATGCGACTGTGGTTATCGATCAGCAGACCAAGGAGTCTCGTGGGTTTGGCTTCGTGACTTTGGCGGACGCCGACGACGCGAAGCAGGCTCAGACCGTACTTGACAAGAAGCATTGGGAAGGCAGAAGTATTCGAGTCGAAGTGGCCGAGCCAAGACAACGCAAGGAAGCTGCCGAGGGCTCCAAGCCCCGTCCCAAGCCTGGAAAGCCTGAATTCGAGCCGACGCCAAAGCTGATTGTACGAAACTTGCCTTGGAGCATCCGCAACTCGGAACAGCTTGGTCACCTATTCCGGAGCTACGGCAAGGTCAAGTTTGCGGATTTGCCCAAAAATAAGGGAAAACTCAAGGGCTTTGGTTTTGTTACCCTAAGAGGCAGGAAAAATGCCGAGAACGCGCTCGAAGGCGTGAACGGCAAGGAAATTGATGGTAGAACCCTTGCCGTGGATTGGGCGGTCGATAAGAATACATGGGAGCAACAACAAGCAGAAGAGGGGGAGGGTGACGATGCCGAGAAAGACGACGACGAGACCAGCTCCGAAGAAGACTCGAACATCGAAGACGACGAAGGCGAGGACGAAGACCCTGAGCAAGATCAGGAAGAGGGGCAGCTGAATGCTGACCTAGAAAACTTTATGAAGAATCATATGCAAAATATGGTTGATGAAGACGACGAGGAAGAGGATGAGGAAGAAACAAAAAGAAAGGAAGAGCGTAACAACTCGTCTGACAACTCTTCGACTGTGTTTGTTCGCAACCTCCCATTTACCACCAACGACGAACAACTCAAGTCTTTCTTCGCCACCTTTGGCAACATTCGATACGCTCGGGTCGTTATGGATAAAGCTACGGACCGCCCTGCCGGAACCGGATTTGTTTGCTTCTTTGACGAGGAAGATGCCAAGGAGTGCATTAGAGGGGCTCCACGCGGGCAACAACCAGCCGCCTCGGGCAAGAAATCGATTCTCCATGACGACAACCTTGATCCTACCGGAAAATATACTCTCGATGGTCGTCTCCTCAGCATAGCACAGGCCGTCAACCGTGCCGAAGCCAGCAATTTGGCAGAAAACTCGCTAGCCAAGAGGAGAGAAAAGGACAAGAGACGTCTATATCTTCTTGCCGAAGGTTCCATTGGCACCAACTCGCCGATCTACAACCTACTTAGCCTGCCCGAGATTCGCATGCGACAGGCGAGCGCCGCCCAAAGAAAGAAGCTTGTCCAGAACAACCCGACCCTGCACATCAGTCTCACGCGTATTGCCCTACGAAATATTCCCAAACATCTTGGCTCCAAGGAGCTCAAGGAGCTAGCTCGAAAAGCCGTCGTCGGCTTTGCGCAGGATGTCAAGGAAGGCATTCGTGAGCCCCTTTCCAAGGAAGAGAATGCGAGAGATGGCAAGGACGCTAAGGAGAAGGAAAAAGAAAGAAAATCAAAAGGAAAGGGTATTGTGCGCCAGGCCAAAATTGTGTTTGAGAGTGTGCAAGGTTCCAAGGTTACCGAAGACTCGGGTGCCGGCAAGAGTCGCGGCTACGGCTTCATCGAGTATGTGTCTCACCACTGGGCGCTGATGGGTCTGCGATACCTGAATGGCCACCAGATGGACGACACGGAGGAGGGCAAAAAGAAACGCCTCGTTGCAGAGTTTGCCATTGAAAACGCGCAAGTCGTGCAGCGCAGAAGAATAAACGAAGAAAAGGCCAGGCAGGCCAGGGAGGACGCTGCCAATGGCAAACCGCGCTTCGCCAAGGACAAGGACGGCGAGGAGCGCAACGGCAGCGGCTCTCGCGACGAAAGAAGCGGGCGAGGTGGAAGAGGTGGTCGCGGCGGTCGCGGCGGTCGTGGAGGCAGCAGAGGCGGACGAGGCGGCTCTGACAGCAGAGACCGCGGCGATGGCCAAGGTCACGGCGGTGCTACGCGGGGAGGCCGCGGCGGTGCTCGGGGCCGTGGCGGCGACCGAGGCCGTGGCGGCGACCGAAGCCGTGGCGGCGACCGAAGCCGTGGCGGCGACCGGGGCGGCCGCAGTGGACGCGGCGAGGCGAGAGAGCGTCGTGACAAAAAACCTCTGATGGACAAGTTCAGGGGTGACGGGAAGGAGGGGGGCCGGAAAGAGGACATGCAGCAAAAGCTCATGGCGCGCAAGCGTCAGGTGCGCAAGAAGAAGGCCGAGTCGAGAGGCAACTAAAAAGCTTAGACAGGCGCGGAACCATGACCAATTTTTTGCTTTCATCATGTAACCATTCGGAGGGCACTGCATCTGCATTGGCGCTGTACTTAATGTCGTTGAGAAAAGTGAGATTTCAGATACTATAAAAATACACAGTTCCTTTTTACAATTTTGGACATGATGGTGGAACGCTACAAACAAAAACGCCGAGACTACGATGCATGAGAAGGGGAGGGGGCGGGGCGTATAAAGTTCACCAGAACCAGCCTCTGTTCTTCTTATCGGTGCTGCTTCCATCGCTGTTGTCCACGGCGTCTGCGTCGTCGTTTGTCTTTTCCGCCGGTCTGATGGTGATGGACGTGGAGGAGCCAATCTCCTTGCCGTCGTCATCGAACGTCTTGCGCTTGACGGTCGTGTGCTTGTACCCGAACGCGTCCACCCACTCTGACGTCGTCTCCTTTTCGTTCTTTCTCGGTGTGATTTCGGAGGATGAGGGCGGCGGCGGCGTGGCATCGTTGAACTTTTCCTCCACGCGGCGCTCAAACTCGTCCAGGCGGCGCGGCAAATCCTCATTCATCGATCTTTTGAACGCGTCCCATGCCCCCTGCCCATCCGCGTACGCCGACCGAATCGCCGAATACAGGTCATCAAAATGCTCAGGCTCGGAACTTTTGCCCTTCTTGTTCTTCTCATCGGAGGCGGAGGAGTCGCCGTCGAGCTGGTCGCGGAGCTCCCTAAACACCCTGCCAGCCTCGGCGACCGCTTCACGATGCCTAGGGTCGTCCCGGACGCCCCGCCAAAACTCCTCCGCGCCGTCTTCCAACCCTCTCTGCAGCTCATCCCAACCCGCCTGCGACGCGCGGAGGATGTGAGACCGCCGGCGCCCGGCGCCGGCGGCGAGCAGGCCTTGGGACTGGAGGCGGCGCAGCCAGAGCCAGGTGGGCTCGCCGCGGGGGTACATCTGACGGAGCATGCGGCTGTGGTGGTAGCGCGAGCGGATGTCCGGCAGCGGGCGGCCCTGGGCGACGGCGAGCAGGTCCTCGAAGGCGTCCTGGAAGGTGAAGACGCCGCCGGCGCCGGCGCCCGCACCGTCGTCGGCGGCGAGGTCGGCGGGCAGGTCGGCGGGCACGGGCTGGCGGAGATGGGTGAGGGTCGCGGGGCTGTAGGAGGGGGACAGGGCGACCTGGCGGACAGTGAGGGCGAGGTCCTCGGGGTTGGTGATGGAGTCAGTGGTGCGTGAGTCGGACATGTCTTTTGGTCAGTCACGGGTTTGCCGTGGGTGAGACGAAGGTGATGAGGATGAAGGTGTGATGGTGGCGGTTGGAGTGGTCAAGTCTACCTATGTACATATGTACTGTACATACATAAACATCATCAGTTCAGGCACCTCCAAGCGTTCCACATTAATACGCCTCATCAGGTACTCGATAGGCCCCGTGACCTACTTGCTCCTGTACAACAGTTATTAACGAGATACTAGTAATACTAAATTATTTTAAAAAATCTAGTTCAAGTGTTTTTATTTACTATTATATTTCCTTTGCTAAAAGTCGGCCGAGCTTGAACTCTAGATCGGGAACTAATGGTGACATCTACTGTAGATTGCTAATTAGCTAGTTACGGGTTCCAGCGCGTACTGGTAGCCATCGTCATACGTCAACCCTTGGATAATCACGCCCTCATATCCTCGTCTTATCTTTGAACTCTCAAAAAGATTTGTCCGTGCCGTCTCATGGAATCATGCTGCGTAACCGCCGTTGGCATTCAAAGTAACCGCTTAGCCAGCTCGCAGGCATCTCTTGTCGGCTCGACACCGCTTCTCCGTAACAATGGCAATTGAACAAAAGAATGCCAACGTCCGACTTCTCGCATGTCTCATCGACGAAGACGACACATACGACAGCGATTATCGCTTCCTTGTCGACGGGCAATACGTGAAGTACGTCACCACGGGGCCGGGCAACTTTCGCGGGGCCGAGGATGACCGCACATTCGAGCCCATCCTGCTCGGCGAGCTCTTTCCGCCATTCCCAGCGGGAGATTGGAATAGCGGCGACGTAGCCAATGACCCCGAGATGGGGACAGCTACTTTCGTCAGGACTAATACAGTGAGTGCAATTTGAAGGGGCGAGAAATCTCTGGCATCCTGTAAAGCTCAATGAGGTTGAGTTCACGCAGCAGGACCGAGTGCGACAGCGAGTCCACGTTTCAGCGCACCCTGACGTCAACGGCGGCAGACCTGTGCTCGTCAAGCTCGCGGTCTAGCCCTGGGAAATCCCCTACATAGAGACGGAGACTGCCGCCTATCAGTGGATCTCACCGAAGGCAAGGAAGGCCGAGTGGTTGGTTTCGTCACCGAGTGACTAGAAGATTTTGAAGTGGCAGAGCAGGAGTGTTCGTCCCAGGAGCTCGAAGACGAGATGAGAGCCCTCAGCAGCAGCCTGGAGGATACGAGTTATCGAGGCGGCAAAGAACCTATTCATAGGGTGTTAGATGTAGTTGGAAATTGCTTATGATGGTAACGCAATGCATCGGGACGCTTCATAGTACGAACGAGCCGACCTGGCTATCTCTCGAGTTCTGTACTAGCTCGCTACGACCATTGCGCAGATGGAATTGAACCAAGATTCCAGCGTGTCGGTCATTTCATGGCATTCCCAATTGACATCTCGGTCTCTGAGGGCATGAGAGTGAGTCTACTGAGCGGTAAACTCTACAATGATAGTCCTGCCCACTGGCCTATTGTCCACAGTCGCATTTTCCACAGCGGGGCACCAGTTGGTACAGGGTAGGTATTGAGGCACGTGTCACTCGGAGGGAGGATAGAAGGATAGATCAGGCTGACTTGATGTTGTAGGCAGATGAAGTGAGCCCCGGGCAGTCACGGGTTTGCGACGTATTGATCGGAGCATGCAGTTTGTGGCCTTTAGACTTGGTGAGTGGCTGTGCGAAAAGACGCGACTGTAAATACCAACGTAGCGGATCAGGAGAGCTTCGGTAGCTCCTACCTTATTTAGCTACTAACTATGTATGTATGTATGTATGTATGTGCATACATATTGTAGGTACAAAGCTACCTCGCAAGCGCTTGCGTAACTGAACGGGGTCAACGGTCATGCGCCAACCAAAAATGAGTCCGTCTCCTATTAGTTTGACCAAACAATGTCAAGTCTATCTGTACCTCGAACCAATTATTCATTACCCAAGTTACTTATTTCGTAGTCATGTCGGCTAACGTTCGGGCTAGGAGGGCAACTTACTCTGTAACTATCTATATAGGTAGGTAGGTAAGTACTAACTAACGCAGATACAATCCCTTGTGCCGTGGCACGCGCACAACAGGGTACAAAATAATGGCCTGCCAGTGAGCCTCTGGAAAAATAGAATGCCAAAGATATCATGTAAAGAGAAAGGGGAGAATAATTATAAACTATGCCACGACTCAAGAACATGAAGGAATATCACCACTGAAACGTCCAATGTCAGGACGGAAGCGCTACCCGCAAGGACCTAAGCCACTAGCAGCCTTGCACGCAGAGGCCACGCAACTTCTGTTAGCGGTGGCGTTCCTGCAGCAGACACCAAGCACCAAGCAGGGCAAATTAGCAGACGGGAGGGGAGGGTGCCACAAGTATGACGCCGCAAGTAACATTGCTGCTGCTACAGTAGGTACCTGAACTAATTTAGCGACTTGTCGGTTTTATCATTTCACATCCTGCTCCTGTCAGCCTCTCCAACTGTGTCGTTATGCTCTACTACGCAATCAACAGTCCCTAATACTCCCCTCGGCTCTGGATGACGACGCGCTGTGCTCTCCGCAGCTGAAGCGCGTGCGCGCGAGACATTCAGGCCAAACGAGAAAAATCCCCATCCCTCAGCGGCGGCCTCCTCTTCGCCCATCCTTGCGCATCCCCGCGGCACGGCCGGCCGAACTGGCAAGAAAAAATCGACACCATGTCCCTTCAGTCGCTGCTCGTGCCCGCGGTCACGGCGACGATAACGGCGAGTACCAGCGTCCTCCTGTCTAACACAACAACGACCGCGCCCGCCGCGCCGACGATACCGGGTGGTGGCGGCGGCGCCACCGGCGACGACCCCGGCGACGACCAAGACACGTTGCGGAACTGGTCCTCGCTTATCGGCATCGTCACCGCCATCGTCGGCAACATACTCATAGCCCTGGCCCTCAACGTCCAGCGGTACGCGCACACCCGGCTTAATAAGGAGCGCGCGCGCGTCAAGCAGCGTGCCCGGGCCATCCTCAAACGGGCGCAGAGCAGCAGCAACGGCGGCGGCAGCGCCGGCCACGCAGGCGGCTCATACGGTGCCATCGCTGGCACGGACAACGGCCATGCCAACGGTCACGGGACGACGAGCGCTGCCGTCGCCGCGGACGAGTATCCCAGTGCCGAAAACGACCCCTTGTCGGCGTCGTTTCAATCCGACGCGACCACCGTCTCCGAAGACGACGCCGCGGTCGCCGCGGCCGCCGCGGGCAAGACGTCGTCCAACTACCTCAAGTCGCCGTACTGGTGGCTGGGCCAGATTCTCATCACGCTGGGCGAGATGGGCAACTTCCTGGCCTACGGCTTCGCGCCGGCGTCGATCGTCTCGCCGCTCGGCGTCGTCGCCCTCGTCTCCAACTGCATCATCGCGCCGGCCATGTTCCACGAGCGCTTCCGGTCGCGCGACTTTTGGGGCGTCGTCATCGCCGTCGCCGGCGTCGTCACCGTCGTGCTGAGCGCCAAGACGGAGGAGACCAAGCTCAAGCCGGGCGACATCCTCGACGCCATCACCACCCCGGCGTTTGAGATTTACCTCGGCCTCACCGTGCCGTTGATCGCCGTCCTCATGTGGGCGAGCGGAAAGTATGGCCGACGCACCAGCCTCATCGACTTGGGTCTGGTTGGCCTCTTTGGTACGTTGAGCACACTCAGAATCGCCCGCAAATCGAACCTACTAACACAGGGTGCACAGGTGGCTATACTGCCCTCGCCACCAAGGGCGTATCGTCGATGCTATCATCTACCCTTTGGCGGGCGTTTACCGCGCCGTTAACGTACCTTTTGCTCTTCATCCTGCTCGGCACGGCCATCATGCAGATCCGATACGTGAACAAGGCCCTCCAGCGCTTCGACTCTACGCAGGTGATCCCCATCCAGTTCGTCATGTTCACTCTGTGCGTCATCGTCGGCAGCGCGGTCCTCTACCGCGACTTCGAGAAGACGACGCCCGAGCGGGCCGCCAAGTTTGTGGGCGGCTGCCTGCTCACCTTCTTCGGCGTGTTCCTGATCACGAGCGGGCGGCAGCGGCGGGACGAGGACGAAGAGTTCCTGGACGACGCCGAGGGCATCGACGAGACCATCGGCCTGATCGACCAGGAAGGAAACCCAGCGGCGGCACCCGAGGATGGCTCGCGGCGCGATGCGCCCTCCCGTCGCTCCAGCAAGGTCTCCCGCGTGAGCTTCGCGGAGCCGTTCAAGACCACCCTGTACCAGGACGTGCCGGAGAGCGCGCCGGCGACGCCTCGGCCAAACAACGCCCTCGCAGGCAGTCCACCGTCACGGAACCCGGAAACGCCTGGCGGCGGCGGCCAGGGCAACGAACCTTGGCCACCGCGCGCCACGCGGACCCTATCCTCCAACTCGGTAGCATCGGCTCCGGTGCCGCCGAACGCGGACATCCCCACGACACCGCCGACCCAGCGAGAGCAGCAGCAACAAGCCATGCCTCCGGGAGCCGAGCGGCCCGTGACGCCGCGGACCAGCACGACGACGCCCAAGTCAACGACGCGCGACCGGGACCGCACCTTTTACTCGCCGTCGCCGCTGTACTCGACTGTCACGACGGTCGTCAAGGACGCGCTGCGGGAAAACGCGAGCAGCGGCAACTACAACAACAACAACCAGTCGTCGCTGCGCAGCATCCGCTCGAGCATCCGCGCCAGCCTCTTCATCGACTCGGACGAGGAGGAGGGCGGCGAAGAGCACGACACGCAGCAGACCATTGCCGTGCCGCCGTCCGAGAATGACCTGATGAGGGTGCTCACGGCGCCGGAGCACGACGACGAGGATGATGATGAAGGGGCGGCGGCGCGGGGCAGCAACAGGCAGCGGGCTCGGAGCCTGAGCGAGACGGTGGGCAAGTTTTTTCGATCCAGGAAGAAGGCTCGGATCAACGACGTTGAGAGCGGCCCAAGCGGTGGCGAAGATGGCGACGACAATGCTGGTTCGACTGCGTGATGAGTATCAACGCCGAAGCCAGGATAAACCATCCCTCATAGATCAAGAAGGAACGTAGACGCGTCTACTTGTTCTGATGCCATTCACAATTTCGGTGGAACGAATTCATCTACTTGTTTCGACCCCATTCTCATTCTCATTGGAACGCATTCAACTAGTTGTCGCGATTCTATCACCATCATTCTCATTCTCATTCGCATTTTGCATTTCCCCTTTGGTTTGGTCGGCATTTCCTGCTACAGAATCTGCGGCACCTACTTTTGTATCTTTTGGCGACGGCGTTGTAAAGGAAGGGCGGATTTGCACAGTCATCCCTGGACGACAATAATCAACTTAGACCGGTCTTTTCTTCTTCTTTTTTGTCTTGTTAGTTTTACATGTTCTTGGCTTTGTATATTTTACATGTTTTACCCAAAACAGAGCTGTTGCATCTATATCATTCTTGCATATCTGCCGACTCGAGCACTTGTCATTTGTCGGCACTTGGCCTAGCTACAAAAATGCATTCGCTTCTTGTTCAACCTTGCACGTTCATTTTTTTGCCTCGCTCGCCGCTTACTACCGTGTTCTTTTTTTAACCAGAGTAGGGATGTTCTGTATTATGTCAAGTCTCTCACCAGGGGATCTCGGAAAAGTTCCCCGTTCACCTCCTGACAATACCATGTCCATACAACGTACACAGCCCTGACAGGGTCAGCGGTGTGTTGCCAAGTCTTGTTCATGAATCGGCTCCTCCCAACCACATGGGGCAATGCGGACAGATATCATCCGGCATTGGCGAGCGCAAAACAGGAAAAAAAAAAAAAAAAAAAAAAAACCCTGCAAAGACAAAAAAAGAAGTTACAAGGCATATGCTGGCTTGTACAAGTCAAAGCGGGCGCGGAAAGGCAAATGCCGGCGAAATCCTTGACGAAATCGCTGAACCCTGGAGGCTTGCCGAGGCCCTGGACTACCCTACCAGGCTCATCCATGCCCATTATATGTCGAAAACAGAGCGACATGTTTCTTTGTTAGGCGTGACGCATTAATTACGGGCAATCTCGATTTCCAAGGATCGCGTCGCGTGACGGCAGGTTCCGCCTGGATGGGAATGAAAGGTTACAGTTACTGTATTACAGAGTAGTTGGTTACTTGAGAAGCGATAAACGGCATCATGCCCTTCCAAATCAACGCGTGAGAGGTCTATTGTTATTATTATTGTTATCATTATTATTATTATTATTATGTTCGTGTTTTTCTTGTCTCACCGCGACACGCCCCAACTAACTATGTACTTGCCTTTCCTGGACCGCCTACAGTGAGAAGATAAAGGCGCCACCAACGAGGACTTTTGTCTCAGCAGTCTCGACAGGGTCCTGGAACCAGCCTCATTGCCTTGTCAAGTTGGCGCTGAATACCCTGGAGTTCCTTTTCTTTCCATCCATCCATCCATCATCATCAGCAGCAGCAGCCATCAGCCATCAGCCATCAGCCATCAGCCATCAGCCATCAGCCATCACCGCCGCCTCGACTTGCTGCGTACTGGTAAGTAACCCGCATGAGTTGGTGGGACCAAGCGGCCGTTTTGCAATATCCTTCTCTTGTGTCTCCTTCTGCATTGGTGCTACGGCGCATTGATAAAGGACAATAATAGCAGCAGGCAAGGACAAATAACGGTTCCCTTTTATTTTTCGACATATTCTTCATGATGCACAAGCCAGCGTACATATGGGCTGTCAAAGTCATACGAGGGGAAGCTACTGCAGGGCAACCACAGCGTCGGGACGCGAAAGCTCCATCCGTCTCCATGTACCAAAAAGGGCCGCCCAATGATGCCACTCTCGATTTCTGTTTAAGCAGGGCGGGCAGGGCGCGCACATATTGATTGGATTTTTACTTTATTTTTGCTGTTATTTGTGTTTTCAGGCTGTGGGAATATATTGCTTTTCGCGAGGCTTTTTCGGAGTAACACGACAGGCCCCTCGCGTGGACTCGAGGGCAAGAGCGGTCTTGGCAGGCTTTGGGGTAGGTATCATTAACCATTAACGTTGCCCTCGCTGCTCTCTGGTGCTTCCAACTAGAACTAGGCTGAAGAAGAAGGATGCAAGATCGACAATTGATTCATCTCCCCATGACGGCTGGAGTGTCATTGCAGCCACGCCACTCATTGATTCAGAACGCGAAAAGGGTTCCGGTAACTTGCTCCGTACTGGTACTCTCCTCCCCCAAGACCAGGGCCTGAGGGGTTTCCTGGTGCTCTCCCTTATTACTTACAGTAGCAGTAGGCTGCAGCTTGTCGCTACCGCACTGTAGGAAGTTTTCTTCTCCTCCTTCACACTTCTTGAGCATCCACAACAGCTTCGTCACATCCTTGCCGCCCCCAGCGAGCTATTCCTGTCCTGGGTAACCTGTGAACCACACCAACCATGGGCCCCCTGTGTCTTGCAGCAGTTAGCAGCTAACTAGCAGTCCCGCGAGACAAGGAACGCGGCCGTTGTCTTCGGAGGCCCTGGCCGGGAGGGACATGGCTTTTCTTTTTCTCTGGCGAACAAGCCACCAACAAGTAAGGGTTCCACAGGTCGTCGAAGGTTCCACGGACAAGGTTCCAAGCTCAAGGAGAGGATATTCACTCCCTCACTCCCTCACTCCCTCACTCACCAACTACTTGGTCACTGCTAACTGCTAGTCAAAAAGCATGTGCGACGGGGGCATACGAAGACAAGGTCGACTCCGCAGCTCTCCGCTCGAGAAAAGGCGATGCTAACACTGGGTCTGGGTCCAGTGCTCTGGAGTAAGAGGAGGCGGAGGGGACGACCGGGGGAAGAGCCAGAATCCACGAATAGCTCATGGGCCAGGCTCATCAGTCATGTCACTGCTGCTCATCATCAGCCAACTGCGCATAACTAGTCATCAATTTTGCCATCTTGCTCAGCCATGCCATTTGCCCTAGCTTGCCAGAGCCCAGCCACGTTGAAATGGTAAGACATTGCTATTATTGCAAGGTGTAATAACCCAGCATCTTGACTAATAAAACAGAAAAAAAAACCCCCCTTCAGCCTCAGAAAGCAGTCACGCATTTCACCCATACTGGTAGTCTGGTACGCTCCTTCTGACCTGCCAAGTCGAGGCTGACAAGTGAGTGTCTGTGGCTTGCTGAGAAGCCAGCCAGCATGAACAACAAGAACCAATTTGGCCATCTGTGCAAAAGGTCCTTGGTGGCGCTCTCCCCGCCTCCCTCCAGCAAGCAAGCAAGCAAAAACGAGGGCTTGCTTCGGTATCGATCCCGCGCCTGTTGCGGATACCTACAAAGGAAGCCATAACTAAACTTCTATCCACGGGGGTGCTGATAACCAACGTTAAGCAGTACTTGAGAAATGCAACCTTCAACCTTGCAGCGGCTGCAAGGGGCGGCGTAAGCAAAAGTGTACTTTGTATGCGCAGAGAGCTTGTTTCTGCAGCCGTGCGTAGCTGCGTTGCGGCGTCTTCATGCATCCCAATCGAGCCATGACGACGACTACGACGACGACTTAGATGATGAAGAAGCAGAAGCATCACGCGCCAACCAACTCTTTGACTGACGAGGCGCCATCACGAGCTACAACCTCACCGGCCGAGGTTCCCTGAGAGCTCGGCTGCTCGCAACGACACCTCGCTTTTGGGGTTGGATTGGGTGCACCCTTGCTCGTGTGGCTGCTTCCTGCTGCCATCCATCCATCCATCCATCCGTCCATCCATCTTCCCCAAGCCAGGCCAGCAATCAAGCCTCTTGGGGATTTTGGGTGTCGAGGACGAACATGCAAAGTAACCAGCCATGCATGCATGGAACTTGTCCGCTGAAGAAGACGGGACACACCCCCAGCACGCGCTACTCTGGGGAAATGGCTCCAATTCATTTATTATTACTCCTGTTGAAGCCGACTCGGTAGGTCGTCGCCCCGGCTGGCTGTCGACTATCGACGGATGGCAACGGCAGCTTCTGGAAGCAGAAGGATGGGGTGTTGATCGGTGCAGGGAAGACGGGCGCACCCCTGCTATCGTCGTCACGTCGAGAAAGAGGTAGTTGGCAGAAGCAGAAGCAGAAGCAGAAGCAAAGGATCTTGTGAGACGGCCTTTGATCAGCGCCCAACAGCATCGGGACGAGAGCTGCAAGCAAAAGCATAGGCAAAAAGCTTGTCTTGTTTCAGGATCAACTCATGGACCTCACAGCAGCCCCGGCAGCCGGCTCCGCCGGGGATGGAGAAAGATTGTTGGCGAGACAAAAAGAAACAAGGACAACAAAACTCTAAACAAAAATATGGGAATATATACGAAGGAGATGCATCGACCAGATGCTTGGGCTCAAGTTAACTATTAGCCGAGCTGGCTGCCAGTCCCTCTGGCTCCCAAACAAATCCCGCCCAAGCTTTTTCTGTACTGTCTGTGCAAGGACAGGGTTTGGCCCGTGCCAGCCAACAAGCGCAATTGGGTTGTCAGGTACGCGTTTCAGAAGTTGGGGTCAAACTGGGGTTTAAAGGAGCTATCCGTGGACTGAACGGAATGGAAATATGCCAGAACAAGGCGTGGCTTCTTTTGGGTTCTGCCTCTTGCTCGGCCTGGCCATGTTGCCAAAGGAGACGCGGGACAACAAGTTGAATGGCCAAACCGTCGCAATTGAGAAAAAGTGTCGTCCGGATGCTTCTCATTTTGGCGACTTGCATGTTGATATACAACCAAGTTACACACAACTGGGGATACCTTGCAGCCTTGTTGGACTTGACAGCGTCTTGGGCTGCTGTTGCTGTTGGGTGAGTGAATTACGCAATTGATTCGGCCAACCTGGGAATGCTCTCCATCAGTGTACAGATTACGCCATCACTGAGAGTCTGAGAGTATGGACGGAATTATCGCCACGGCCACATGGCGACTGGTGTCTCTCGGCCACGCGCCCACGCTGATGATCGCTGGAGACAAGCTCTGCCCATCCATCCATCGTCTGGTCTTTTTGTCCGTCTTGCTCTGGCGCGTCCTGAATAATGCGCTCT